TAACACAATTGATGATTATCAAATGGTACATTTCTGCTTTTTAAATAATTTACTTTATTCAAAAGGATTTAAAAATATCTCTCCTACCAAGGATGCATTTTGTTGCCACCACAAGTGATCATTCTCTGAAAAGCCATAATGATAAAATAGTATATCATGTATTTACTATTTTGGCAGGAGCATATTTTATCCAAATGGCAGTATTTGAATGCCTTTGACCTTTTATAACAATCTTTTTAGATAAGACTGTTATGATAGCAATTTCTTCTGAGTTTTTACTTTTATTTTTGAGCGAACTACAAGGGTAAGTCAAAAATTACCGCACTTACATCATAACATATCTTTAGGTTTGTCACATTGCATTCTGCTCATGCATGCTTATAGTTGCTACTATTGTGGTCATGTGATCAAAGCTTGAGCTTGATCATGCCAGTCTTCTTGCAGCTTTACAGTGTAAACATGGCCATTCGGCTAGCAGTGTGCACCAAGGAGGAACAAAGAGCAACGATCCAACTTCTCTGGTTGGAAGGTGTGTCAGGTGCTGAAATTCATTGGAGGCTTTTAACACAATATGTTAACAGTGTATTACTGTGTAGAAGTGTGTATGAGTGAATCAAGAAGTTTAAGACAAGCATGGCACACAAAGAATCAGGATGCCAATCAACCTCCATCACTAACAAGGAGATTCAGCAAGCTCTAGAGATGGTAATGGTGAACTGGTGAGGTAACATTGATGACATAGTGGAATCAGATCACTGTTTTTTGTTTATCCTTGGTGCACACTACTATGTGGGTCTGGAGGCTTTCCTATTTCAACTTTTTAAGCTTCTGCAAGGTCTGTTTTGCAACATGTGGTCATGCATTGTTGTGTTGGAAAATTATGCCTTTTTGATTTATCAAAATTGGATGTTTTTCTTGAGCTCAAGTCTCTTCAAATGGTGAAAGGCAGTTGACATAGATTTCCAAATGCTTAGCAATCTCTTTCATTGAAATCTTTGGTTTATTCTCTACGATGACAAACACAGCATCCTCCTTTACATTGGAAGGTTGCCTGGAGCATAGGTGATCACTTAATTAAAAATCACCACAACAAAATCTGCCAAATCACTTTTTAAGCATCCAAAGAGCTGGAATATGATGCAGCTAAACTTTCTGAATGTTTTTTTTGTCACAGTTCCAATACTTACTTCTTTCCAAAATTCTAAGTGCATAATATGGCAAGAGTGTAACTTTTCATCATCCATCTTTAAGGCATTCATTTTTGGACAAAACATTAACACTCAACATTCAGCAAAGTCTGATCTGCAACTGAACAATAAAAGATTTCAATCTAGAACACCCCAGAAATCGGCACCAAGAAAAATGCCAGTGTCATGTTGCGATCATTTTATGTTAACAATGAAAATCTGGCACAAACATTTGTAATATCTGATATTTTTGAACAGTATTCCAGAAGTGGGTGTGCAGAACCAAATGAAAGGTCTGTTTTTGGCACATGAGCTGTAGATGTCAAAGTGAGCACTTCTGTTTGAGTTAAAGAATTGGATTTCCAACCTACACCCTTCCAACATTCCCATTTAGTAACCTTTTACTTTGAGTGGCACTTTGATTTTGTATTGGGTGAACTTAATCATTATCTATTGCTTTGTCTGGCACAATTCATGGATTTGCAGAATGAGTTTGCTAACAATTGTTCCATATCACAGTCTATCTGCTTTTGTTTTATGGTTTTAGTGGGTGGCTTTTAAAGGTTTTACATCTACTAGTCTTAGTTTGGCATAAGACTGAAGTAAAATAAAGCCAGAATTTCACCTCTATTACAGACTGAAGTGGTGGAAAGTTACCTTGAAAATCTTGGCTTTTTACTTGGTCTTGAACATCAACTATTAATGTAAAAAGGAAAATGTGAAGCACTGACAAGTGGTTGTGTTCAAAATGCTTAAGAACTGTTTAAATTAGACACACTCAGTTATGCTTGGAAATACATACATGAGCTGCTTTTTGTTTGATTGTAAATAGAAACACTCTAGCAGACATAAGGGACAGTAAAATATTTGGTGGCCATAACCAGTTTTCTGGTTGTCACTTCTTCATGCCTAATAAATCAATTTGGACAATGGGGTCAACTTGATTTTTTTTAATATAACCAATTATATCTATTTGTTACAATGCCTCTAAGTTAGTTTTTTTTTTATATTTCATGTTGACCCTCTCACTTTGTGTTAAAACAGAAGGTGCTAATGGTACCAACTTATTTTGACCCCCCTCTCCCCAAAGTAAGAATTGCAAGAAATTTCTAGCCTCCTTACTAGTTATTAGAACTCCCTTGATTTGGTAACATACATATATCTTGACCCTCAATAACTCTGTAAGTAGAAGAATCGTTACATTATTGGAGTTTCTTGTTTTTGTTTTTTGTTCTCAATACAGGTAAAAGAAAGTTAACATTTTTATAAAGCAATTTGGAATGTATTCTTTGTGCACCAATGAATGCAAGGAATTAATTTTTTTAAGCTTCTATAACATAAAACCTTTCTAAAGTTCATTAACCTGTTCAGTGTGCACTATTTGGTCTAATACTTTGCCATCAATGTATGTAACAGTGCACATATTTTTATATTATACGCTGACATGAAGTGGAAAGATTATATTGAATCAATTCCTAGGTTTGCTGCTAAGAAAGTTGGTTCACTGTGTCGTGCCAATCAATTTTTCTTGCCAGAATCTATCTTGCATATTTATAAGTCTACCATTTGTCCATGCTTTGAATATTGCTTCCACATCTGGTCCGGTACTTCTGCTATGTATTTAGAGATTTTTGATAAATCACCTCCCCCCCCCCCAAAAAAAAATTGCAATGTTATTTGTCTTGATCTGGCATTACTGCTTGATTTGCTTTCCTACCACCATAACATGGCTTCCCTATGCCTTTTCTATAAATACTTTTGTGGTAATTGTTCTGATGAACTTTCCTTTATGATATCTAGACTTTATGAATTTAAGCACAGTACTAGATTTGCAGTAAGATTTCATCATTTTACAGCTGAAATGGATAGATGTAACCATAAGTTTCTTTTATCACAATTCTCATTTGTGGAACTCTCTTCCAGCTTCTTGCTTTCCATGCAACTTTGAACTTCAATAATTTAGATGTAATGGTAATCATTATATTTTGTTTTCTTAATTCCTGTTCTTTTATTGTTCTCTCACTTTAATATTTTTTTTCTCTATTCTCTCACATTCAGTAACTTTTTGCATCTTGTGGCCCTGTTGCCTTGCTTGGCATGAAATGATTAACAAAAAAAAATTTAAGCAATTACAGAATAGTTTAGGATTATACAGACACCTGATTTTTGCCATTGTTTTTGTGCAATAACTTAGTTCTGACATAGGGCCACAATTTTAGGGTGGTCAGTGATGATTGATTATTCATTTAGCTTAGCTTAGTTCAGTTGTAGGAGGACCTAGTAAAGATTTAACTCTCTCTACAAACCATCTCTCACTATCAGACTATTGAGCATTGCTCTATAACAGATTACACATCTTGCGTGTATGTACTAGTTTTAACTGAAGTTGACTTAGTAGCTCAGATAATAGTGTATTTCCCTACTAACACGAGTGATTGGTATTTTAAATGGCAAATCTTTTCAGAGCAGGCAAGCCTTCTTATAAATTGGTGCAACATAATCCCATTTGATCACATCTTTTCATCATCCCTATGTTTTGCAAAACTGAAATTGATAAATATATACAAGGGAGTGTTGAAATATTTCCTGCTCAATACACTTAAAATCTTACCAAACATTAGAATTTATTCATTTATTTAATCACTTTTTGGTGAGACTGAGAGCTTTTCAATACCTCTACATACACTTTCAATTGCATGTAGCATGATCAAAACACCTGTGGCAGAAACTGCAGTTTTTAAATCCTGCTCTTTGAAATGTGAAAGAGGCACACACACTCTTAATTCTCTTCTCACTGTACAATACTTATACTTGCAGCAGATAAACAAATGAGCATAACATTTAGATGCTTTTCTATTTATATCATTATGGCAATACTTTATATGTTCATATCTATTACTTTTGTCTGCAAAAAATGAAAAAAATGTTAATTAATCTCCTTTTTAATTATGTTTCACAAATAGGCCAAGACATTTTCTTTGTAAGCTGTTAAGACATGTATCTCTTCATTGTATGAAATGTGGCCATGAAAAGGCCATTATCAGTATCTTATGTGAACTTGATATCTAAAACCTATCTATATTTTCATAAAATATCATTTGTTCAAAGATTTAATTTTGATAATCTTACATGGATATTCATAAATTATCTTTAAATACTAAACTTGGACAAAATATCTCTGTCAATTTTTTTTTTGTTAAGGGGATGCTGAAGTTCTTGGGCTGACCTACTTCTTGGATGACTATACATCCACATTTTTCATTCACTTCTTGCTCAAGCTGAGAAATTTTCACTACCCTCTTTGAATTTCATCAGAGACCATCTTCAGGTCATTATGTTGTCTGTGAAAAGTTACTTCTTTTATACTGAAAGAAAGAAAGAAAAAAAAACTTGTGAACTTTGCAATCTAGAACACAGCATAAGCAGTAAAAACAAACAGTTGAAATGTTTCGAATTTACAGAAATGTATATACATACTCACAAATCCTTTGAAGATGGTCTCAGATGAGATTGAAAGTACTTGGGAAATAAAAACTATTGGAAAGAAAACTTTGGTATTTTTCTTAATCAATTTTTTATGGACACCAAGAAATTAATCTGCAAATTTGCTGCCTAAATATACACTAATATATATATATATATATATCTTTGACATTTGATAGATGAAGTAATTAAATGTTAAATGTAAAGCCACTAAAACATCAGAATAGGTGTGCTCAAACTGGCTTGGCTTCTGTGTAATAGCTGTTTTCAAAATGCTTATCTAGGAAATCATGGATAGAACAGGAGTTGTCCATTAGCTGATTACTGTAGCATTTCTGAAAAAAAAATTTCTTTCTTTTTTCTTCTTCTTTCTTTTTTCTTCTTCTTTCTTTTTTCTTTCTTTTTTCTTTCTTTTTTCTTTTTTTTTCTTTTTTTCTTTCTTTTTTCTTTCTTTTTTCTTTCTTTTTTCTTTCTTTTTCTTTCTTTTTCTTTCTTTTTCTTTCTTTTTCTTTCTTTTTTCTTTCTTTTTCTTTCTTTTTTTTTCTTTTTTTTTCTTTTTCTTTTTTTTCTTTCTTTTTTTCTTTCTTTTCTTTCTTTTTCTTTTTTTTTTCTTTTTTTTTCTTTTTTTCTTTTTTTCTTTCTTTTTCTTTTTCTTTTTTCTTTCTTTTTTCTTTCTTTTTTCTTTCTTTTTCTTTTTTTTTTCTTTCTTTTTCTTTTCTTTTTTTTTTCTTTTTCTTTTTTTCTTTCTTTTTCTTTCTTTTTTCTTTCTTTTTTTTTCTTTTTCTTTCTTTTTTCTTTCTTTTTCTTTCTTTTTTCTTTCTTTTTTTCTTTCTTTCTTTTCTTTTTTTTCTTTCTTTTTTTTCTTTCTTTTTCTTTCTTTTTCTTTTTTTTTCTTTCTTTTTTCTTTCTTCACTATTCATTTCTGATGTATTTTAGAGTCAGCATCCAGTGTGTCTGCATTAGTCAGGAATTAATTCATGTGTTATTGGCAGAATAGGATTATTATGAGTTTAAATTATATAAGAACATAATTATTGGAAAACAGATATTTGATCCAATAGATTAACTATATAGTTATTTACAACTGGGTCTTTGTCTTGCGTAATTCCACAAATCTGAAGACATTCTAATTGAATAGGATAACTTTCAGAAGCTAAGCAAAGTATTACTAGATAGGAAATTTTCATGAGAAACAAATAAGTGTACTGAAGTGCCATGTTTTTCGATATGGTAATGAATGCTGGACAATTTCCTTATAGATGAGATGAAGTGAAGGATGCTAAACATACTGAGGACAAAATATGTTAACAAGGAAATTTTAAGGAAAATGGGAACCAAAAGGAGACGGTTTAAATTTCTGGTACATATAATGAAGAAAAGGTGCTTGAAGAATTTGATTCACAGGGCATGTTGAAAGCAAGAAGGGCAGAGGGAAACAGAAAATAATTTCCCTAACAAGTTCATGTAAATGAATAGCAGAGTAGAAACTGGAAGGTATGATAAGGGGGACAAACAAAGGAAGCTATGAAGAACCATGATTACCCAGATTCTGAAGTGATACAGTACATAAAAGAAGCTAATTGGTGTTTGATAAAAGCTTGTTGACTATTGTTCCCTGTACACAGTGCTTTAGATGGAATCACTACAAGCCAAGGAAATGTTTCTTTAAGTGTTAGTATATATTTTCAAGCATTTCATATGTAACACCCTTTATACTAACATAGCTGTTAAGTCAATGTCTGCAGCATTTCACTAATGCTGCATAACCTATTTCTTTAAATAGCTACAAACAAACATTTTTCAATAGATTTCTTAATGCCTTCTCAGTTCTGTCCTTTTCTTCATCCTGCTCCCTTTCAGTTATCAACATAGTTTGCTTTCTATGTAAACGAAAGACTTAAAATGTTGCATATCAAATGCCCATGTTGTCATCAATGGAATGTGTATAAAATGGCTTATTGACACTGGCTACAAACATTTTTTTTCTCACTTATTAATCTCTTTATAGATTAATATGATTGTCTTGTAGGCTGAAGATAGCACAGTTTGATTCTCATGTAGTTATAGCCTTGTGACAGAACAAGTTTAATAAATATATACTTGTTACTCACTTTACTAGCTTTTTTGTTTGAGATCACACAAGTGTGTGTATGTGTCTGTATGCATATATATATATATATATATATATATATATATATATATATATATATATATATAAAATTTATCATAGTGAACACCTAGACTCCAGAGTTTTATAGACAAACTTTTTCATTATTGTTCAATCCATTCTTCAGGAGATTTCAGCAATTGACTTCTATTACTTCAAATGTTATTTTTAGTAGATATCTGTTTTTGAGTAGAACATCCCACTTTTTAAACAGTGTTTATTTCATCTACTGGCTTGCATATTTGAGAAAACTTTATAAAGAAAATGTGCCCTTTGACAGGATTCAAATCTGTGCCATGCAAATCTCTCGTAGGGCTCAAAAGTCAGTTAAGGAATTGTTGAGGAAAACTAAATTGGTGTAAAATGTGGTTATACACGGTCATGATTTGTCATTCTCTTACACACACACTTTGTTTATATACTAGTAGCTGTATGTCTCTTCCGGTTTTTATAAGCTACACCAAAACATTCACTGTCATAATTTGCCAGGATCTCTAATAGCAACCCAATGAGCCTCCCCCCCTTGTCAGTGATGATAAATAAGGTCAAAATTTTTTTAAAGCTAAAAAATAACGACTGGTATTTTAGGCTGAAGATAGAACAGTTTGATTCTCATGTTGTTATAGCCTTGTGACAGACTAAGTTTAATAAATGTCTCCATCATAAAAAAAAATGTTCTTTGCAAATATAAACCGGCTTCTTTCAGCTAAAACATTTTATTTTTTTATACTATGGCAAATTATTTGATTAGACTTTTTCTTAACTTGTTTACTAAACTACATTTGTAAACCAATTTTCTGTTTTCTTTCATGCCACCATATTCAGACACAGCTGACTCTCCTTTTGTTTGTATTCTCTGTATAAATTCATCTCTGCTTGATGACAGCTGTTCAGCTATAGGTGTTGTCTTTCTAGATATCATATGCACACCTGTAGAAATTGCTTCTCCGCATTACAAAAAAAAATGTGTACAATCAAATACATTGTTTATTATAAAACCATACTAGAAAAGAAAACAAATGATATTGTAGAAATTTGTCAACCTTGTTGAAAGTTTTTGTTTCACCGTTATTATCACTTAATGGTATGATTCTTCTACAACAACAGATAGATGACTTTTACCAGCCATTTTGTCTTTTTTGGAGCATGTTAGAATATTGAAAAGGTTTATGCATATAAGAACATTGATAGATATGAACAAGCATATTCACACAACATTGTTTACTTTAAATATTAATAAGTTGATTTGTAAAAGTTATTGTAAAATGAGTTTTGCCTAAGCTGATTTATTAAAATATTACTTTTACACAATGATTATGTTTACAATGTGAACGTTAAGCTTTACAATAAGGTAAAATTTGGAAAATACTTCAGTTACATATTTTTCAGACTGTTGTCATCATCTTTTTGGGCATATGTGTTATTTTGGCTTTTTTTAAACATATGAAGGCATGGTGGGGCAATGGATATCAGCTCAGATTGAGGAATTGGAGAGTGGAGTTTGAATTCCAGTCAAATCCATTACATTCACTTACGTGCTAATACTCTTGGGAAAAGTATGAATTCTCTTCTAAGCTATGGGTAAATAGTAGAACAGACCAGGTTCTATAGCCTTGGATGGCAACTGGTCTACCACAAAGAAATGGCAACCTACTGTGGGAAAAACATCTGCTTTGTAAGTCATGTATCGAAGGATACATGATTGCCTAAGCATGTATCACGTATGGCACATAACTGACTTTAAACATATTCTATATTTTGTCTTTAATTTGCTTTATACTTCAAAAGGCTAGATACAACATAAAAGCTGAAGAAAATTTATGAAGAAAAAATATATATTTGTCGTTAAATTTAAAAACAAAAAATATCCCATGTTTCAATTTTAAATCATTTTCTTCCTTTTGAGGTAAATATGAGTGATTTTTTTTTTTTTTTTTTTTTTTGCCATTCCAACTATTTGAAATGTCAGATTTTGTCAAATTGTTCTTACTGCACACGTGGAAAGTTTTATTTGATAATTAGTTTTTTTCTTTTGTTCTGTTGCACAAATTTAGAGATTAATTTAAAAAGATAATTTTCACATTTCATTTTCATATTGATAAAAAACTCTTGGCAATGACTCATACATGTCTTTGAAAGTTAGTTTATAAGAATTATAGGGCTAAATATAACATTTAAAAATATGGCAAGTCTGAAATTTTTGTTTGTAAATTTACTATAATCATTTTGTTTAGCAGACCATAAAAACTAGACAGCATAAAATTATAATCTTAAAATCTGTGCTAACAATCCCATAAAATAAATTCATTTGAGGTTAACTCATTGAAAATATGTTAAACAACAGAAGTAATACATTTTTAACTAACATACAGTTAATTTACTGTTAATTTTGATTTATTTATCATAAGGAAAAAATCAATTCTTATATTCTTTGGAAGGAGTGGACGTAATTCCATTTGAACCATACACAAATGATATAAAAACAAAACCAGAATTGAAATAAATTATGTCAATACAATAAAAATAAAAATCAAGAATTCAGCTGCTTAACATGAATCACATTTTGTCTCCCTCAGGTAGATTTTGTTGAGATAAAATTCTTTTTCCAATGACAATGGTTCATCAGTGAAATATACCAAAATAGAAGTTTTCTAAATTCTTATCTATTTACAGTTTTGTCAGTTTCTCCTCCAACTTTACCCTTACACACACACACACACACACACACACACACACACACACATTTCAACTATAGTAAACAAAAAGTTAAAGGCAATATTCATGTCTTACATGCTCCCAGGGTATTGATTTGAGTTCAAGTCTCATTGGAGGTTACATTTTCAATTTGCTCTATTTTAATGTTTATTAGGTATATTGATTTGAGTATTATAAAAAAACAAGAGAAAAAAATTAATCAAAAACTTCAAATATTTCAGCTAAAAATTTAGACAACATTTTAGCCTAATACAAATATATAATATCCATTCTTCAATTGAGTACAAATATTAGCAATTCCAGTTACAAATCCATAATGTTAAATGTTATAAAAATAAGTTCTAAGGGTTGTCTTTTCAATGGTGTTATCACAAAATGACTAGAAATTTATCATGAGATTTGACTGTTTACATTCTGCTAGTTAAGCACCACAAGTAAGCATTTGAGATTTTAAAGTCTTAAAAAGGCCACTAGCAGGACAAATAATGTTTTTATTTTTGTTTTTTGTTTTTTTTTTCTCTTCACTAACTTATAAAATCTACACCTTTTACAAATCATCATTTCAAAGGAAATGACATCACAAAGCAAAAGTTGTACATTTTTTTTATAATTAACACAAAGTTACAAATTCTCATAAAATTTTACAGTATCTTACGAAATTTATTTAAAAATTTTCAGGTAATTCTTGTTTAAAGAAAATCAGTTTACTATTTAGAAAAAGAAACACCTCATTAGTGAAATTTTTATATCTGCTACTGTTTTTGCTTTTGTGTGTAAGATTTTGTTTGGTGCTTCACAAAAAAATTGAAGTGGAAAAGATGCTCTCTTTTATACCACAAAATAAAAATCAAATTTTGACATTGAATATTTTTCATTTTTCTCCTCTTCATTAGTCAAAAATGTTAAAAACGGAAAAAAAAAACTGACCTTGTGTTTGGATTAGTTTTATTGATTCTTTTTTTGCTTATAGAGGAAAGGATGATTTTTGATGCAACTTGATATTAGTTTCTTTTTCAGGTTTTTTTTTTTTTTTTTTTTTTAAGAGTTATGCATATATGGTTGTACAGAAGTATATTACTTGACAATATTCAAACAATTCCTTGTGAAATTTCATTAAAAAAAATATTTGTTCAGTCCATATATTGGACTGTACTGTGATAAGATCTGTTTTTTGTCCTTGATACTATTTTACTGCATAAGGGTTAGGAGTGCATCTGATAGTGTCGAGTTCTTCTCAGTATCATACAGGAGGTAGTACTGTATTACAAGTGTCAGAAGAATCTCTGATATGCTTGAACACTGATAGAAAAGAATATTATGATATTAGTTGCATTAATGTCTTTCCTTTAGTTACTCATTTATTCCTGCTTAAATTAGTTTTTCCATGAGGTCATGAGTATAGGACACCCAGTAAGAACAACTTGATAATTATTACCCAACAAAGTGCTATAATTCAACATTAATTCAAAAGTGAAACAATTGATAATCAGTATGCAACATTAGAGACTTTTTTTTTTTTTTTTTTTTTTGCGGGGGGTATGTGTTATATATGAATATCTGTCTTTTTACTGCATGTAGAAAATAGTAAACCAGTACAAAAAAGATGACTTCTATTTTTTTTTTTTTTTTTTTTTTTGAAAACTAGTAACCTAATGCTTTCCTATTGTCAATGGTGAACACATAATATAGGTTAAAATTACTAAAAGAATGCTTCAAGACTTTCTCATTTAGATACAATGATAATTTTTCTTCTGTTTCTTGTATATATTGAGCTTCTACTGGTTGGGATTGCTTGGGAAAGGCATAAACTGACTGTTCCATCACTCTGTCCCATTGCAAGTCTTCTTGCCTATACTCATCTCATACTAGGAGTACACTGGCAGTCTTTTTTTCCATGATTGCCTACATAAACGATAAGTCAAATTACTGCAACCGTTGTTGGTCAGAATCAACTGCTGTACCAATATACAATACATACCAAATTCATTGCCAATGTGATAACCTTTGTCATCAACCAAAAACTGTGATCATTGTATTTGTGGAGTTGAAGTGCTAACTCTGGTAATACTCATACAACTACACAATTCATAATACAACTTTAAGGTGTCAATAATTAGAGATGGGAGAGAAATGGACCCGTGTTAAATACTGTTGATTATAAACCTTGAGTGTATTGCAGCAATATTGGCAAAATTATGGTTGATTTTAAGGTGTTAACTCAGAATTAAGAACAAAAATATGAACACTACTTGCATAAGTAATATAGCAATATATAAAAAAAACTGCTGAATTATTATTTATTTATGTATTCATTTATAGCAATTACATATTGGTTAGGTTTTTCAATCTCTCTCCCTCTCAAAATTTATCCCAGGCACAACAAATAAGTGAAAATATAATTTTATTTTGAAATCTTTTTTTTTTAAACAGATTTTAATTCATACTTCACTATTTGAATTAATGTTTAGATATCCATCTGTGATATAACTATACCCAGTGGTTTCTGTTTTCACTTTGTCTTTTATTGTAAAGGAATTGGAAGTAACTTTAGTTTTTTTTTTTTTTTTCTCCATTTTTATACTATCAGATATTTTGAAGTAATTATCAATTCTTTAATAGAAAACATTTTTTTTTTCTTAAATAAAATTATTTGCCTTTCTTTTTAATTTCAGTTAAATGTTCTTGTTGACACTGGAAGCAGCAACTTTGCCATTGCTGCTGCTCCAAACAACCTCATCACAGTCTACTTCCATCGGAAACTGTAAGTTTGTGCCAAAAGTATTGCTTTCTTTGGACATTGTTATAAAATTGTTTCTGTTCTTACACCATGTCTCTCTTTTGACTACTACTGTTTCTCATTTCCATTTCAACACCTCTGCAGATCTTTTGTCATTCTGTAAAACTTATTCAATTACCTGTGCTTGTTTTTCTTTCCCCTTTATTCTCCCCTTCCTCTGACCATTACCTTCAATCTTTATCCTTCCATCCTCCTTGATATTTTTTTATTTATTTTATTTTATTTTTTTATTTTATTTATTTATTTATTTATTTATTTTTTTTTTTTAATCTTTTCTTCAAACTTCCCCACCATTCTCTGGTTTTCATTACTCTTAATGTACTACTTATCTTTATTCTTTTCCTTTTGCACTGCTCCTTCCTAACTTTGTTTTACATACACTCTCTTTACTCATTTCCTACTTTTAAAATATTTACAATAATTTTTTTTTCTTTCAATACATGTCATGCTGTGCCAATTGAATAGTCAGAAATATCCAACTGTTCATACTAATTGGCAGCAATTCACAGAGAGCTAGGAAGCATTCAAAACTTGATTTTTGGTTTGAAAGTGCTGTTTTAAATACCACTGCCTCCCAAAATGTCATGTTAATGTTAGTTAAAAATAAATAAATCAATATATTTCAATTCCTTCTGTATATCAGGTCATCCCATAAGTTGTGCCTGAATTTTAACTTTTTGTTAAAATGAACGAAATTTAAAGAGTATTTTATAATATCTAATGGAGCTAAACATTATTTTTATGTTTAGATGCATTTAAACTGATCAAATTTTATTTCAGAGAACAATAAAATTTAATTTTTTTTTATTAAAACCCTGCTAGCATGGAAGTACCCAAGAATCATTTGAGACACTTAATGCTTTATGAGTTCAAGAAAAAAAACATTCACTCAGTTTATGGAGAGGAATGTGTGAATGAAAGAACTTGCAGAAGATGGTTTGCAAAATTCAGAGGTGGAGATTTCACCCTTGAAGATGAAGATCGAACTGGATGTCCAGTTGAGTTTGATGAAAAGCTTCTTGAAGTCCTTGAAGAAAATCCTGCTTTATCAGTTGAGGAATTGGCAGTGGTTCTCGGTTCAAACCATACAACTGTTCATCGTCATCTTCAACAACTTGGAAAAGTTCCTAAACTTGGAAAATGGGTGCCTCATGAATTGTCTGAAAACAACCTCAAATCCCGAGTTGACATCTGCTCTTCTCTCCATTCTCGCCAACTTGTTTCACCTTTTTTGGATAGACTTGTGACTGGCGATGAAAAATGGATCTTTTATCGAAATGTTAAGCGTCATAGACAGTGGCTTGGTAAAGGGGAAGGACCCCAGCCACAGCCAAGAAGGGAACTTCATGGGCAAAAGGTTCTTCTTTCAATCTGGTGGGATCGCCAAGGAATAATCCACTTTGAATTCTTACCACCTAATGCAACAATTAATGCTCAAATATGCTGTCAGCAATTAGAGCGTTTGAACCAAGCTTTGAGAGAAAAAAGACCTGCTCTAGTGAATCGAAAAGGGGTGATGTTTCATCAAGACAATGCGTGACCCCACACAGCAAGAATCACGTCACAAAAGATCGAAGAACTTGGTTGGGAGAAAATTCCTCAACCACCTTATTCTCCTGATCTTGCTCCTTCAGACTACCATTTGTTTCGTAGCTTACAGAATCATTTGGGAGAAACAGCTTTTGTAATACAGGAAGAGGTTAAAACTGACATTTGTAAGTTCTTCGAATCAAAGCCAAAAAGAATTTTACAGTAATGGAATTAGTAAGCTTGTTAATAGATGAAAGGAAGTCATAGATAATCAGGGAAAATACATTGTTGATTGAATCTGTAATTAAATGTAACATTTGGTCACTTGTTTTCTTTATTCAAAATTCGAACAGAACTTATGGGATGACCTGATAATACTTGCTCTAGAACTGTGTTTCTCCAACTTTTTAAACAATGGCACACCTAGGAGCAAATGAAACCATCACAACACACATAGCAAAACTTATCAGAAATTTCAACAATATTAATTCATAATTCAATAAAATTTTGTAAACATTTTGAATTAAGAAAAGAATAATATGAAATATATGAAAACAGGATATGAACAGAATATGAAAACAGGTTGATATTCATTTATTCAAATAAAGGAAAATTTTTAAAAGTTAAATTAAAAAAAATAAGACGTTTTAAAAAATGAATATTAAAACAATGCATTTAAAATAACATAATTGAAGAATAATGAAAAGAATTATTTGAAAAAAAAAAGTTTCATACTTATTCATTTATTCAAATACTAATGCTATATCATTACTACTTTCACATACACACTCACACAGGGTGCAATGGATATATTATCATCTAAATTATGCAGAAATGAAAATAAAATTGACATCTCATTTTAGCAGATATATTTACCAAAATTGCACAAAAAATATCTTGAAATACTAAAGAGTAAATTTATTCAACAAAATCACCATTGGCTGCAACCACGCCCTTCAGATGACTTCAGAATTTCCTGCAACTCTTCTGAACGGTCTCCTTGTTTAAGTTGGTGAATGCTGCCATAATCATTGCCTTCACTTCATCTTTGGTGTTATAAGGAGTTTTGTTGGTCTCTTGCTCAACTGCACCCCCACACATAAGACTCAAGAGGGTTGTAGTTTGGGCAGTTAGGTGTAAGGGGTGATGTGGTTGCAGAAATTATCTGACAGCCATGACTGGGTTCACCTCCTTGTGTGGCATGGTGCAGTGTCATGTTGTCAGAGATAGGATTTTCTAGCAGCCACCCTCTTGACTCAGGACAACACTACCTGCTCAAGGCACTTGATGTAGGCCTCTGTATTGAGTCTGAGGCCATCAACAAATTCAGGAGTTCTTTTCTTATCAGAACGATCAGTGACTTTTCCAAGTTGCAGAACCTTCATAATCACCATTCATATTGGAGATTCCATTGTGAGTGCCAAGCAGTATATCACACTGTTTCCAAATTTCTGACAGAGTGAATTGTCATGGTGCTCTTTTTCTCTTGGACAGTGACCAACTATACTGTTCAGTCCACAAAAACAACTTGCATGTGGCACAAAATTAAAAATATAGGATGGCGACAATTTACACATCGCACCCTGTATGTATGTTGTGACAATATTTCATGACACACTTAAGAGGATTGGGCAGTGTGGCTGTTAAGAATCACTGCTCTAGAACAATAATAAATGTATTTCACCTTTTAAGTCATTGACAGTAAGTATATTTCTCATTGGTTAATACTCAGTAAATGTGAATTCGTATCAAAATTGTCTTCATCCATCAAATATCTATTATTAGTCATAATGCAACCTTATCAAGCCATAATCACTTGATTGTTTGTAATAACTTAATCTAAATGTCATTTGACCATCAAAGGTCAAAATACATGAAGTTTACATTTCTTAAGTTATTTTTTTAAAAAATCTAAATCTAAAATATATGTCATGAATAAATTACTTTTTCAATGCAGGTTATAAAGCCGAACACTTTAATGGCCTTAGTTGCAATTTTATGAGGAAGGACTGGTGTAATGATTCTCTCTTTACCTTAACTAACGTTAAAACTACTACTACTAAAATCTCATCCTGGGTATGACAAACTACATCTGGCAGCAAGGCCTCTGACCAGGTTTTGAGGAGTGTGAAACCACCTCTTAATTGCTGCTGTTGTAAGGTCCATCTTGACAGCACCTATTAGTATCCCAGTTATGGGCAAATAGTGAACACCAAAACTGAAAAATATAGAAATATATTAGAAAAAATTACCAGCAATACATTTTCATAGTAAAAAAAAAATTAAATAAATAAAAATTACCAGTAATACATTGGAAATTTTTTTTTACCAAAGCTCACAAGAAAATAAAATTTTGATATTTAATGACCCATAAGGAGTTGATATATCATTAAACAAACTATAACAAAAAAAATTGCTAGTAATTCATGATTGTATTCAACTGTTAAAGCAGAGTAACATATTACTTCAGAACTCCCAAGAAAAGTACATTTTTGGCATTAAATAGTCTGTAAGGAGTTTATATGCTGTTAAACAAACTATAACTAGTAAAATCAGAACTTCCAATATTGTTTCACTCTTGTATTTTAGTGCTATTTATTTATAAATTTTATCGTTATTGGTTTTAATACAGATTTTTTATTTTCTTCCTTTATAATAGGCTACTGTTTAAAATGTTGAACCTACATATTCTTTCATGTGTTCAAGTTTAATTTCTTGAATTTTAACATATATGAATGATAGTCCCTTAATAAATAGCTATCAGTGTCAAAACCTTTTACTGCTTTGAATAAAATTTTGTAAATTGAATTCTGGTCATTTAATTTCACACACATATGATTGCAATTTAAATTACTACATAAGATTATGTAGTAATTTGAATTGGTTATTTTTATTCAGTTTGATGATTAATGAAACCATAATCTTAAAAAGAAATGTATACTCTAATAGCAGCTATTATGAGAAAGTTGAATTCTTTTGTAATTGAAAAATAAATTTATGAGCATCAAGCAATATCATCTTGTAATTGTACAATAATTCTTTAAAAAAAATGTATACAACATGTCTAAAGCATTATAGCATTCTTTTCTAGACTGTACACATCTCTTTATGAACTGGGTTTAATACTTATCAATCCAGTTAACAAATTTTACTTTTAAATTCTAATATTTAGGGAAGTCTTTAGTTCATTTTTGCTTTTGTCTGTAACACCTCTTTCACACACATACATTTTATATATATATATATATATATATATATATATATACACACACACACACACACATACGACTTTCCATTTAAGTACATGTGAACAAAAGCTCTTTTGTGTAGATATCTAATCAGCAAATGGCTCAACAGCAATTTAATGGATATAGGCATTTAAACATGGTCATAATGACCTACTGGATTTCATTTCAGGCATTAGCATATGAAAGAAAGATGATTTAAGTGACTTTGAATGCAGTATGATCATTTGAGTTTCAAATCTGTTGATTTACTAGGATTTTCATACACAACTGCCTATAAGGATTACAGAGAATGGTCAGATAAAGAAAAATATTCTAATCAGAAGCAATTGACAGAAATCCCTTGTTGATAGAGGAGAATCGACAGTCTGGGTCAAGCTGATAGAAAGGCAACAGTAGCTAAAATAACCCCTCTTTACAATGAAGGTATTCAGGAGAGCATTCCTGAACACAACATATTGAACTTTGAAGTAGATAGGCTACAGCAGCAAAAGACCATTTTGGATGCCACTTCTGTCATAAAATTGAGAAAATGAGGATCACTCAGGATCACAAAAATTGGACAATAGAAGATTAGGAAAATATTCCCTGGTCTTATGAGCCTCAACTTCTGCTGCAACATTCAGATGGTAGGGCCAGAATTTGATATAAACAGTATGAAAATAGAGATCCATCCTGCTTGTATCAGTGATTCAAGCTGGTGGTAGTGGCATAATGGTATGGGAAGTATATTCTTGGCTTATATTGGGACCTTTGGTACCAATAAAAGATCATTTAAATGCTGTAACTTATGTATTTTGGCTGACCACAACAATGAGTTTTCTCCATTAAAGTGATCTCCATAGCCACCAGATCTCGATCTCATAGAGTACCTTTGGGATGTGGTGGAAAGCTAAGATTCAAACTCTTGATGTACAGCCAACCAATCTAGAAAAATTGTAGGATGTTATATGAACTTGAACCCAAATTTTGATAGTGCTTCCAGAACATTGTTGAATCCATGCTGAGAAGAATTTAGGTGGTTCTAAAAAAGCAAAACAGGGTCCAACTTGGTACTAGGAGAGTATGCCTAATAAAGTGACTTGTGTGTGTGTGTGTGTATATATATATATATATATATATATATATATATATATATATATATATATATATATATATATATATATATATAATTAGTAATTAAAATAGTTTACATATATTAAAGATAAGTGGACTCTTTTGTTTTATTAATAATTATTACTGCTCTATCTATTGATATTGAGCTCTGTATTTGTAAGTAGTGCTGACTTTGAATGCAGTGTCTTCTGGAATTAACCCAGTCAGTTTTATTTTTGACTAGTTTTATTTTTGTTGTTGTTGCATATTTATACATACTCACACGTGCTAAATGTCTAATAATTCCTGTACTCCTGAAAATACATTGACTTTGCATTCTACTGAGAAAAAAATCATATTCAATAAATACAAGGCTCAATTCTTTCAAGAAGTTTGGGATATATATTTAACCACAAGCAATTTTTATTTTATCAACAGCCATGATTTAAAATAATTGAAAATGGAGATTTTTTTTTAAAAAATTTTCATATTTTATTTTTCCTTTCTCACAAAGTATCTGTAAATCAGTATATTAGTGTAAATGGTTTCTAAGTAAATATTTTAATACAGAAAAACTGTTTTATTTCTGACATGTAAAAAAAAAAAAATTTGCAATGTTTTTTATTTATTTATTTTTTTTATAACTAACATTGGTTTCTAATTAATGCTAAGATTTTCTAATTTAGTTTCTCTTTACATATAAACAATGTGTATAAATACTTTGGTTTCAGGTCCTCAACTTATGAGTCACAGGATATTACTGTTGAGGTGCCTTATACACAAGGCAAGTGGAAAGGAATTCTTGGATCTGACATGGTCACATTGAATGGTGCCAGCAACATTACAGTCCGTGCCAACTTGGCTTGTATCACAGAATCTAGCAACTTCTTTATTAATGGCTCTAACTGGCAGGGAATTTTGGGACTTGCATATGCAGATATTGCAAGAGTAAGTAATTTCAAATTTACAATCTAATCAAAATACTTATGGCCAAATTTATTCTCTCTTGATGATCTCAACATTGAAATAGAAATAAAGTGGTGTTTTTCTGTACAAAATTAATAGAAGAAAAATAAAAAAAAAATAAAAAAAAAACCTTACATAAGCAACAATAAAAAAAATGTCTTTAGACAATATAAGTTGTAATTCTACTGGTCTAAATTTATAGGTTCCTACTGAAGTAACGCCTACTTTTACTGTTAGACAGAAATCGTTTAACATATTGGTGGGGATAACAATATTGGCACAAGTTTATTTGCAATCTATTTTCTTTTCAGGTCTACAAAATGTCTGCAAAAAAATGGCTTAAGTACATTTTCTTCCCTTTTCACACTTTAGCTACCACACTGATTATCATCATTACTTCCTAATTAAAAATGTAGTTCTACAGAAGGATGCTGAGAATATCATGAACTGAACATGTGAGCAACAATGAAGTTTTAGGGAAATGGAAACAAAAAGGACATTTAGAATCAGAAAGAGTTGAAATTTCTAGGGCACATAATGAGGAAAGAGTGTCTAGAAAATGATACTCACAGGACATATTGAAGGCACAAGTGATAGGAAAATGATGCATAACATTTATAACAAGTTTGTGTAAATGGTTGGTGAAAGAGGGATTGGGAGGGATAGCAGAAGGTACATTATTGTTGAGATGTTGTGAGTTTCCCGCGTGTCGGTGTATGAATTAAGACAAACACAGTTGTAGAGGAAAATACTGGTATATTCATAAACGCAATTAACAATAGAGTGATTAATAGAATGAAGGTTGGTTAGTACGAACAATATCCAAAGTCTATAGTCCAACGGTATGTACCGGGTAAGCTTATCTGGACTGCTCACGCTGACTCTCTCTCTCTCTCTCTCTGACGCTCCCCTCACTCTCTCCAGAGCTGACTTATATAAGAGGGACCAGTCCATTACTAGTTAGAAGGTGGGTGCGCCCCAACAATTGAGAGCTAAAAAGGACAGGAGATGGTGAAGAGCTATGATCGTCCACATCCTGAAGGGAAGGTTAAAAATGCTGTTCCCATAATATAAACATTTGCTGGATCTTGAAATAGCCAATCACAGTACTAAAATGTAATATAATGAAAAACCATTGAGTAGACAGTGATTTTGTTAAGTGGTTAGGAGGGTACTTAAGAATTACAATAGAATTTCTGTGATTGAAAGCCTTCACTTGAAATAGTTGAACAAGGAATGGTGTTTACTAATTTCAAGTGATCTTGGTCAAAGAAAGAAAAAGCTTGCCCTATTTCAAACTATTTGACCACTTCTGAACAAACAGAAAGGCAAGAAAGAAATAGCAAAGTAGTAATTATGTTATTTGGTTGCTTGCTTGCTGGTTGTTTTATATACTTAGTCAAAGCCATATAATCATAATGTGTACTTGGCATGACTTATTCCCATGCTTTTCCTTCATTCAACCATATGTGTCACTGTCTTTAATGGCATCCATAGGTTTTCTTTACAAAGCTTCATTATTGAATATATTATGATTCAATCAAAAGAAAATGTTATTCCTTACATTAGTTTGTAACTAAGAATATAAAAATAAAACAAAGCTGGTATAGAGTGATATATTAAGTGAGCAGTTGGTTGACTTATTTACTAAGCTTGGTTTAGTCTGGAACACGGCCATATATGCAGGGCACCTGGTGAGATTTGAATTCACTATCTACTATATGATGGTGAGGTGCTTTACTAGTTCAAAGATGAGTTGATGTTTAATACAAATAACATTGTATAAACTTTGAGAAAACCTGATACTTTGAACTCCTACACTCTTTAAACTATATCTGCCATTTTAAGCTGAATTGGTGTCATATTTGTGCACTCACCCATTCAAACAAACAAATCTAAGTTTTCTTTTAGACAAAGTGTTAAAAAAAAAAACCAAGAGTCTTTATTACAGCCATAGTCATAATAGCTTTTTCACTCAAACTTGTTATCCCTCTGAAATTAACATTGTATACATATACACTTAAACCTGCCTTGCAATGAGGAGCTTCCTTACTCCATTAAATATTTGTTTTTAAAATAAGGAGATCTTGGCTGCAGTGGATTTCTTTTTTCCTTTCCTTTAAATGAATAGCTCAGAAAAAAATCTCCCTCTGTTGTTGCAGATTGAACTGTAAAATTTTTCAATGGACTACTACTATATTCATTACTATTATTCTCCTAAAATAAAATTTTATAATCTTGACATTATAAAGAAAATATTTTTTTTTTCAACCTGATGAAAGCACAATCTCTCACTCCTCTTGCACTGATCTTTTGCTTTTATTTCCTCTTCCTCCCTATTCCATGGACTTTATGGCCTTTAGTTCAAGTGTTCTAAACTAAACATTGAGCCACAATCTCATTGTAATAACTGAATTTTTATACATACTTAATACATGTGATCTAATTTTGGCTGACTGTTCCAACTGAAATTCCATGGCTTTCTCTCCTCATATTCTTTATTTGGGCAATTCAATATTTCAAATTGTTTTTAAAACCACTGTAGGCTTACAGCAACATGTTAAAATTCAGGTTCCATATGATCAAGAAAGCTGAGCCTGGTCAGTACCTAAATGAGTGACTGCTTGGGAAAACCAGGTGCTGTAAACTTGGATGTGCAAGTGGTGTAATGGATAATGGCTCAGAATTGTTAATTGGAGATCAGTTCCAATTCACACTGGGTTCACTATATTTACTTATGCGCAAATACTCTTTGGGAAGGTATGAATCTGCGATCCCTCCCCCAGCTATAGGTTAATTAGTAAGAATTGTATTACTAAACTATTATCTCCCCCCCAAAATTCTTACAATCTAAAAATATTATCTGGCTTTATATAACCTGCAATGGGTTGATAAGCTGTAGAAAACAAATTGATCAATCAATCATTAAAACCACTGTGTATGTGTACATAGCATAGTGGTTATCAGCAAGGAAAGTGATTGGCTTCTAGAGTTCAAATTCCAGCCAATCCAGTTGCATTCACTTTCATACTTTAGAAAGGTATGAATCCATCTCCTCTATCCACCAGCCATGTTTTTAATGGCAGAACTGACTATCTAAGCAGCTAGTATATACAAAGAACAGTTCTGAATTCAAAACCTGTTGGGCATGTGATTAATAACTCCACCCCATAAAAATATCCTTTTGTTTATAAATAGTTCAGCTGACTATTTTGCTGCTCTGACTTCCTCAGTTTGACTTCTGAGGTCAAGATACAGGACAAAATAAAGGAAATTGATTGTGATTGGCTGAAAAAGCGTGGGAATGATAATGTAGAGGAAGGTTTTTTGGGAATTGAGTCTAAACCATCATACAATGTAGACCTGTTTCTTTTGTGACTGCAACATCTCCCAGTGGAGGGAGAGAGCAACCCCACTGTTGAGTTAGAAGATGTATACATTGATGTGAATAAATTAGTTAAGATTAAAATTCATTTGTTGACATTCTCTTCTATCTCCAAACAAAACAACTAGCAATCACAGGCTGTGAAAGAAGGCAATGTCAATATGATTGAATTGACACTGTCACTGTCGCTCAAGACCCTGACCGAGGGGGCTATGCAACACCTATCATGTTGAGGTTATGACCCTTTATTCCACAGGGCAACGCCTACGGGGTTAACATTTAAAACACATTCACAGAAGCCTAATATTATTTTATTTTAAAAGTTTGTGCAAAAAGATGACAAAGAATTTAGTATGCCAACATAGTTTCCTGCTCCTAACCCTACAGTCAGTGCTATCATCAAATGATCTCTTGTTCATAAAAAGCTTGGAAAAAAAAAAAATCTTTTCTAATTTGTTGGTTGGTTGTTCCTATTATCTCTATCATGAAGGTGGCATGCTGAGCTCTTCATAGTATCAAGAATTACTTGATAATGTACATCTCCTCTCCACATAACAAACCTAGTAGTAAAAAGAGGACATGGTAATGGTGAAATGAACTATTTCCATACAGCAAAACATTTGGCATTCATTAACTGAATTGTTTGCATTACTGTTAGGATTTATAAAATCTTTCTTAAAACAGCTTTTCAGGAAATTAGACTTCTCAAGTTCATTGTCATCACTTTCTAGTATTGACGGTAGTTTCCTTCCAAACTTTTTGTTTATGGTAATGTAGAATATTAATAGCGTGTTTAATTCATTATTTTCTCTTCTAGTTATGTGATTTCAGTATAACATCCATGACCCATCATAATGATATTGCTTAATTCGGCTTATAAACTTTTAGTTTCATTTGCTTAATCATTGCCTGCTTGAAATTTTAATATTTCATCTCTTAATTTATCAGTTGAAGAACTGATTTATTAGATGAATCAGTCTGGCAGTGATCTGTTTTTCATAAGCACTTGGTGAAGAACACTCTCCTCTCTCTCTCTCTCAGTAGATTTAGAAATTCTCACACTAATCAGTATATAACCATCAATGCTCTTTAAGCAAATTCCTTCATATTTCAGAATATTTAGACATTAGTACCAAATTTTTCAACTGTTCCATCTTCTATTTTACCAGGCTTGATACTACCATTGACATTTGCATATTGTAAGCCATTTCCAGAATAGCATATTGATAAGATAAGTTAAAAGCTATGGTATCCATGCAAACTTGTTGGTATTAAGAAACTGTAATAACTTCTTTTTGATTAAGATATAAATGTCTAGCTGTCAGATGCCAGAATAGTAAGAAGTTATCTGTCTTAAAAATGCAACAAATTACGCAGCACTTATTTCAATTAGCCACATTACTTAGAAGAATTACTTCATTACTTATTTCATAATTTATCTAAAAGTAAATTGATTAGTTTATTACTTAAATGAGTTTTTCAAACCTGATAGATTGAAAGCATTCTAATGTCTAAAACTTGAAATGATGCAAATTTATTATAAAAAAAATGCAAGTTATTTATAAGATTTATTATGCAAATTTAGTAGACTGTTAGGATAGACGTTGCTTTCCTTGGCCTGCCTCACTTCTTCCATCTGACAAACAATTTCCTGCAACACTTTCATCAAAATTTTTTTCTTTAAAATGCCATGATTATTGTAGACCCCAAGCGTGTTTTCTTTTTATTGGCAAATGTTCATCTGAAGATGACATTGAATAATTCAGTTGAGAAAAATTTGTTGCTATTTTTGTCTACAATGAAATGAACAAAGTGAAATGTTTTTATTAGTTCTCTTCAATAGATAAAAGTTTATAAAGACAGTCTTAGCTGGCAATAATATAAGTGACAGATGACTATAAATAGGCAGTGTTGATTATTCATGGTTAATTTGTTTAAATAATGTACTATTAATTGTTTCATGTGGTAATAATTGTAAGTAAAATGATGCACTAAAATAAGTAACCAAGTAATCGTTTTAAGTTCTGAATATTAATCTCTTAAAAATGATTTCAGGAAAGGTAAAATTATTCTCATTTCTTTTCTTTGAATATCAAGATTTTTGTCAACATTGTTAATGCTTAAGAACATTATCTTCAAGGTTTCTCTGAAAGAGTTGCATATATTACAAATTTGTCAAGCAGACTTTTTATGTTTTAAGCATGTATATTTTTTTTAAAGACAAAATGTAAAATCTTTGTTTAAAATATATTTCATTTAACCTCTATTCAAAATAGTATCAAAGTGGTTATATCTTTTAAGACATTTACCATTTAGATATTCTGATAGTTTGTTCTTATCTAAGCAGATGTTTCATTATATTATAAAATGTTTATATATTTTCCTTACCTTTGATAGCCAGACAGTTCTGTGCAGCCTTATTTTGATACAGTGGTACAAGACACTGGAATACCAAATATGTTTTCTATGCAACTTTGTGGCACCAATTCTCTATCTGCACCAGAAGATAATTTTGAGACTGGTGGAACACTGGTAAGTACCTTAACTTTCTATTTCTTACTAATTGTTTTTGTTATTTTTCTTTTCTTCAGCTTCAAATATTTGCTTTCATAGATTGACATTTATATCTTTGTTTATACATATTTTTCTACATTCATTTTATTACTTTTTTTCTGTTTCCATCTTAAACTTATAAAAAGAAAACCTTTAATATACCCTTCTCTCTCATTGCTAGTAACCAATTTACCTAATACAAAACCAATTCCTAATTACAGTAATTTGCCTATATGAATTTATATTCACTCTCTTCTGCCTGGAGAGTAAGAAAGTGTCTGTTTTGTTACATTGCAGCATATATATATATATATATATATATATATATATTTTATTTTTATTTTAAATGTTATAAAACTGAGTTTACCTCAGTATATGCTTTTAGATTTTATATCTAATATTCTCCATTATTCTGAGGACTTTAACCCAAAACATCAGCTTAGGTTTCTTATTTGTATAGTTATTTTCTATACATTTCCAATCTTTGTAAATTATAGTTTTTAAGGAAAATGCTAAGTTAGGTGCTGGGTACTTATTCTTGATATGAAAGAACTGTAGGAATCTATCAAGTCAACAGACAATGCCAGAATTTGATCTCAACTCACCAATTCTATTGCTTAACTAACACATTATAAAATATAAACAAACTAGAAAAAATAAAAGTAAAATTAAAGAGTGTTTTCAACAAGTTCAGACATGGAATCCAACTAAAACGGATTTTCTATAAAACATATCTTGATCAAGAAAAAAAATGACTCATTCTGTCTCCATAGTAAGTTTGAGCACATTATAGTGATTTCATAAAGATTAGTGACAAATCTATATTATGTTTGACTAGCATGATGTTAAAAATTTCCTGAAGTTTTGGGTAGCACTTTTTACATTGTCATGACTGATAATGGATCCGTGTTGCTTTTTAAAATCAATATGAACAAGATAGTATCGAGATATTATATATATATATATATATATATATATATATATATATATATATATATGCATATTATACCACATAACACCGTTGAGCGCTTAGCCTTGGAGTGGGTAGAATGAAGATCAATGTGTTTTAGTGGAATTAGCAATTTTCAATCTGCTTGTCTGAATCATCTTCAAGAAGTGAGAGCAAGAACTAAAAGGCCAGCCAATCTAACAGTTATCTCATCTCACAATCCTCACACTTGCTCCATATGTGGCCTCCTTTGTAAATCACTAGCGGGTCTTAAATGCCACTTAAGATTATTGCACAAACTTTCATAACTGAATCAATTAAGCTACCAGATCCTCATACGTCGAAACCGATGGGAGAGTCCATTATTATTATATGCGCGCACACACACACACACACACACATCAATGTTCCATTATAACATGCAAGTGATCAGACTGTCAGTAGAACTTAATATTCTTTGGAGTTCTTCCCTTACCCAAGAAAGAATAGTACTCTTAAAATGATAGTAATGGTTTAAATTTGAACATTATCTGATTGTTAGTTTCTGTATATGAGTTATATGAGTTTCTATATAAAGGTACACCTTTATATAGAAAAAAGATAAATAGATATGCTTAACTCTATAATATGTATTATAATCAGACTGTAACAATAAGCTGATTACATACACACACTATCGATCGATCTATCTATCGATCTATTCTTATAATTGGACTTCTTGGTTTCACTGATAAAAGAAAGAAGTGTTTAATGGCTGTTTCAGTGAAATGTATAAAGTTGTCTATTTCAAATCCTTTCATTTGTACCCACTTCTTAAAATAATGATTAGCATTCACATTTATGATTGTTATTGCAATATTTTGTTAAAGTTGTTAAGTTCAAATATTTAATGACGTGATAGGGAAATTTCTACAGATATTTTATTGTTGTAGAACTTGCCATGAGCTTACTCGATAATTAACTTAAGAATTAAAATTCATCAGAATATTAAAATAGGGAAACCATGAAGTTTTTACAGGTTAAAGCTAGTATATAATAATGAGAGGTTTAGTTGAAAACCAACAAAAGGTTTTTTAAAAATGTTTTAATTTGGACCATTTTCTAGTTTCCAGTGACAATTTGATTATTGTCCAGTGTCTTCTAAGCATTTTTCAAGTCATTATCAAAGAACTTTTTGTGGGTTAAGGTTGTAACTCTATAGATACTCGTTGTTGTTTTTTTTTTGTTTTTTTTTTTTCTTATAGCAGTATTGGTGTCAAATCTTCATGTCAGTAGGCACCATGTTAGATTTTTACCTGTATTGGACAGTTTCTGTTCAAATTCCCTCCAGAACCAAGAAAAATGATGTGAACAGAAGAAAATAATAAATCTTGAACAAGAATTTAACTTCTATTGGTCTTCAACCAAACATGCATAAATGAAAAATTACAAAATACCACCCTTTCTTATTTTTTTTAAATTTTTTTTTTATTATTATTATTATTACTTTATAAATATATAACACCTTCATTAAACTCTCAGATAATTGAGAATGTTATGGTCTTTTTCAAGTATGATCGAGGAAATGCTCTCAAGTCTAAGCACAAATGAGAATTTTCTGTTTATACAAATTCTAAGTAGAATATTTTTAAATGCATTTCTTCAGATTTGTGATGATACAATTATTTTAACAATTTTTAGGTCAGGTTAATGATATTGTGTAATATCAAACAATTGTGAAAAAGTAGACACAAAAAAAGAGGTTGATCTTTGAGTAAACAGATGAGTCGGTGAGTTTATTCTTGCATAAAAAAAAATGCCAAGTGCTTGCTCAAATGTCAAGCTGGTTTTATCAAAAAGGATAATCAATACAATTGCTTTAGGTATCTCTTTTTGAAGATGTAACTTATTTTCATTGACTCTTGGGTTAATGACACTTTTAAACTTCACAATAGGAGAGAAAATCTTAGAATTTAAGCAAGAGGAAATAAGCCTTTGTATCTAATAGAATACCCACATATTACAAATAAATGGTTGATCAAAATTCAGATTTTAATTTCTCATTGTATAAAAAAAATACATTATATAAAAAAATACAATTTGTTGATAGCAGAAAAGCAAATTGAATTAGATTAAAGGTTTGGGGCCACCTTCTGGATTAAATAATCAGTAATAAAAATGTTTAATTAACTTCCACTAAGCTAAGATGCTTAGTGGAAGTTAATTAAACATTTTATTTAACCCACTAGTGCATGATGTCTAACTTTTTTAGAGAGGAGGTTTACCTAAAATTTAAATTAGCAAGCAAGGTAGATTAGGCAAAAAAGAGCTAAAATTTTAAGGAAATGTCTTTTCTCTTTGTTATACAAACATGTCAATTTTTTTAATTTTTTTTAATGCTCATAAGTTGTATTTTATCTTTATCTGTGACATCTCAAGAAATAAATATTCTTATCCCTTTCATCTCTCTTATTTAAAAAATTATTTTTTTCTTTGATTATTCTCAATATATTTGATTTAGAAAAAAATCCATTCCCATTCTCTGAAGGGCAAACCTCACCACAAATGACGTTAAATATTCTGCATGAAGGATAAAATGAAAACCTGATATGTGCAATTGCATATCACCAAGTACGGATTCAGATTTGGTCAGTTTGAGGTTCTTTACTGCCAGTTCAGGCAATCTGAAAGGGTCAAGAAAACTGAAATTAAAGATTTTTTTTTTTTTTTTTTTTTTTTGTTCAACCAAAGTATTTGAATTAATGTCAAACATGGTTTTCTATCTTTCATTCTGCATCTGAATAAAGCATAGACCAATAAGTTGTTTTTTCTGATGTAACAACTACGACAGATAACTGAATGTTAGACAAAATGTTTTTGTTTATATTACAATTTCACCCTTCGAGAGGACAAAACATTACACAATTTTTTTCACTTTGTATTATTTTATCCAATTATGTTTATACTATATTATTTATATAGCTATATGTATTTACTGTCTCTAATACTTTCTTATGGAGGTTTTACACTGTAATATTTTCTCAGAAATTTAGTCAGTCTTTTACACTATAATATTTTCTAAAAGAAAAATATTTCCTAAATTCTATTGTTCTCTTGTTTTGAATAGAAATTTTATCTATTAAATGGCAAGAAATCATGGTTAGAATATATTTATTATGAACAACTTTTTCTCTCTACTACAACTGAGTATTGCAATAAAGTAAAGTAATAACTTGGAAAGATAAAATTCAATTAAATTGTTTTATTTTTTTATCTGATGTTTTTATCCTTCTAAAGACAAAATCCTCTTTCTCTTATTAGCTTTACAAAAACAATGTATCTCAAAAAAATAGACAAATAAAAATGTAACCTATATCTCCTAAAAATATGGTTGCCCATGCAAAATAAAAAGAAAAAAATTCAAGTCAATATAGACATCTTCAAATTCATAGAAAATAAAAAAAGTCTAAAAGTTATTGTATCAGGAAACCTAAAGATATTTAAAAATGCAGCAATATCAGGAATTCTCCTTATAAGGAGAACTGCTGATATTGCTATATATTTAATCCATTTAATGTGCATATTTGGGATGAAGAAAATGTGATTGTTTCTCTTGTACTAAAATTGTTCATACATGTTAATATAGAATCCATCTGAGAAATGGAATGCTCAGCATTTTTGAAAATTAATTTTCAATCTTGTGCTCATCATGTAGAAATAAATCTTACTTGTTCAGTAGCTACAAAAATAACTGTTTATAATTAATGGAATGACCTCCACAAAAAATAAAACCTAATTTTAAGGATGGAAATATTTTTTATTTTATTTTCCCCTCTTTTCAGGTTCTTGGCAATATTGATGAAACTATGTATCAAGAACCTATCTATTATACGCCTATCCAAAGGACAAGTTACTATGAAGTCCTTATCACAGATATACAGATCAATGGAACCAGTCTAGGTTTGGATTGTAAAGAGGTAAATACATTTTCCTTTTCTAAAATACTGTAAATTTAAATACTGACTCTATTCAATATTTTTTTAATTATTTTGCCCCATGCAAGGCAATAAAGTCACTAAGATGCAAGGTGAGTGTGAAAGAATGAGAAAAATAAAAATATTAAGGAAAGAACAATAAAAGAATTGGAATTAAGAATACAAGATAATTCAGAAAATTGCCATATTTACTAGCCTATAAATCACACAAAAAAGTACCTATAGATTATTATTTCTGCCTGTAAGCTGGCTGCAAACACGTGACATTTCTTTTTAAAAAATTTTGGCCGCTTTATTTTTCAGGCCAAGCTACTGGGGGATGGGTACTTTTTTAAAAAAATAATTTTTATTGAGACACCATCTCTAGATAGATTGTCAGCCAAGGCTAAAGTGCTTTATCTGTCCATGAAGTGAGGACATGTGACTTTGTGCTAGCACAATTGACAGCTTCCAAACAGTTTTGTATACACATTTTTGTTTTATTTAAAATTGCCATTAAAATTTATAAATAATTTATTTTTTTTTTTGTATCCATTACAGCACAAAGATTTTTAAAAAGGTAATCAATTTAACTTATGGATTTTTTTCATATTTCTTTGAACTTTTTATTTCATTTTTTATTTTTCAGTATAATTTTGACAAAACTATTGTAGACAGTGGGACCACAAATTTACGTTTGCCTTACACCGTGTTTCAGGCTGTTGTGGACAAGTTGAAACAGGCTGTTTGGGTAGGTTCTCAAATTTTCCATGAAATTATTTTGAAGATTTTCATATTTTTATTCTTTTATTTTCTATCAGTCTTTCTATCTAATCTTTTCATGTAATCCCCCCCAAAATTAGAAAACAAGATTATTTTAACTGTCAATTCTCTTCCATTCAACAATATAGAGGGCTTGGATTTAGTGAAACACTATTCAACTTGACTAACTTTTGATATTAATGGCAAGTATTGTAAGTTTTAAAAATTATTTATAGTTTGAGGAGGATTACTTTTAATTATTCATGAAATTATATCCATGATGGATACAATTCTTTTTACTAAAATAGTTCTATCCCTTCCCAAATTCAGAAAGGTACTTAGAGGATCAGAATTTTCTAAGTGTTGGGCTACATTGAAGCTAAATTTAACATCAATTCATTATTATATATTAATATTCAAAATGTTTACAATGTTGTATGAAATATGTTATCTGGCATATTTTTTTTAAAAATTGGATTAGATAACCTGAAACAAGAGAGATCCTAAAATGACTAAGAACCTCTTTTTGCTAAGAGTTATCAAATCTGAAAATATGTCCTTGTCCTAGTTTTTAATCATTTGACATCTACACAAAAACAAAACATTATGCAGAATAATTGCTCTGGGGTTAAAGATCTTATTGTGGAAGAGTTGAAGGAATATGCATGTGAATGTTTTTATATATTTAATTTTTTTTTTTTTTTTTTTTTTTTTTTTTTTGTACCTTCATATTATGAATCTTTCATCTCCATAGATTCCCATGATAACCATTTTTGGTGTAAGTATATCTTATTGATTCATTTAAGATGCATGTAAAGATGACTCTTGTTTGTATAAGTTTTTTTTTTTTTCTTTTTCCCTCCCCCCCTCATTTACTTTTAATTTTATTTCATTTATATTTTTTGTGAACTTTCAGAAATTACATGGGTTTACTTCAGCTCCAAAAGTGGATTATACATTTATATTATCTTAACTGTTATTATTTTTCATAACATTATACATTTATTTTTACTTTTTAGAGGTGGGCTAAGGATAGGATAATAAGAACTTTATAAATTCAAATTTTAGATTTACTGAGATCATCTTCATCTAACTCTTGATTTGATCACCATTATGGTTTAACATGTCACATAAGTAAATTATTTGTTAGACAAGCTCAATAATCATTGCTTTTTGTCTTTTGGCAGGCATCATCATTCATATATATATATATATATATATATGGTTGGATTGATGTGAGTTTGTGACCCTGGGTTTCACACTTTTGCGATCGTCAGACTAATAAGTACCGTGCATATAATATATAAATAATTATATATATATATATATATATATATATATATATATATATACACACACACACACACACACACACACACACACACACACACACATATATAACATACCATACCATGGGTTGACTTGTGAGTGAAACTGGGAAAACTGAACACTTTGGGTCATTGATAGCTGTGCTAAGACAGTCATAAGTCATTGTGACCGAGGGTTTGAGTGTGCTGGTGTTGTTCAGATTGTCGATCATTCTAGATAATATGCTCTCTCCCAGAAACTGTAACTAAGGTCTGCTCAGCATAGTGGCAGTATAAACCACAGGTTGGCTAAATCTTATCTCCAAAAAAATCTTGCAATCTAAAGATATTTTTTGGCTTTAAATAACCTGCAAATTGTTGATAAAGTGTAAGAAACTAATAAGAAATCAATAATGTTAAATAAAAATAAAAAACGAATATCAACTTGAACATATGTACTCACTAAAATTAATGTTTACTAAGTGTGTGTATACATGTGCACACACACACACTTTCCACCATAACATAATTTAAAAGCTAAGATGCTTTTAAACAAACAAAAATAAAGTCTTTAACTGCACCTGTTTTTTTGTTGATAATGAATTTAGTCATGAAATAAACAACTCAAAATGCCAAAGATACTTCTGTTTGAATATCTGGAATGAGGAGTTCATTATTTACACCAGGACTAATATCCCCATCTTTGATGTTATCACAATATTTTGGACATTGTGGCCTTCATGTATCTTCCAATTCAGGTAACCTGAAGAAGGCTGGAGAACACAAAAACTGAAACCTTGTAATAATAACAGATAAGAACATTATTCTGAATGTAAATAATTTCTCAAAGATATAGACTGGCACAACTTTTTATTTGTAGATTTTAAGGCATCTGTTCTCTATCCAGGTAAACAAATGGTGTTATCAGCTTGGTTTTAGTCCCATAGAAGTTGTCAAGAAACTAAATGCCCTTGAGAGAAGACAAGAATTTAACTTTGCATTCTGTTCTATTCCTAATTCCCTTAACTATAGCCTTGTCATTGGTATACCAGAGGATCAAGAAAAGTGGGTTATTTATTACATAAGCAATATACTCTCCTATAATTACCTTTCTAGGCAATAACAACAAAATGATCTATGATCTATTTTGACAGCCGATTAAGTATTTATTACCTACTTTTATATTTATAAAATTACCAAATAATATAAATATGTACTTCATAGAAAGCCCAAATGTGTGATGGCTGGTCTCCTATAAATATTCATTCATTCTTAACCTGGCTCAGGTTGAAAGCAAAGATACTAAGCAAACCAGCTGGTGATGGCTGTTTATAAATTTAAGTAAATAGAGTATGTATTCTAATGAGACAATTGGATTGGTTATCACTTCAGAAGTGAGACTTTAAAATCTGGAACAAATCCCTTGAATAATCAGTAGAATCCAAATACAATTTTCAACTTAACAAAAAATAAAGGAAAATATTAATCATGGGCTGACTTGTTTTTAAATTTTAGAGAGTGAAAAATCATGTGACAAATCACATGACTTTGACTTGCTCTCTCTCTCTCATAATTTTTAATATATTTAATAATCTTCCTACTGTTCCTTGCCACCTTTTCCTTTGTTTTCAAATATATTTGAGGTGTGGTATTTCTGACTTGTTTTCTATATTTCATTGGGTAATTTTTCTTTCTCTGAATTTTCTCTATATTGGTGTGTGTATAGTATTTTATTTTATTTTATCTTGTATCCTCTTTTTTTTCTTAATTTCAAGAACTAAATTATGTCTTAGCTTATCAAGAATTCTAAGTATAAAAGGAAATAATTCTATTCTAAAAATATTTTATTATATTTTTGTGCATATTCCTCTTATTTTTAAAACAAGACTACTTTAAAATTTTCTTTCTCTTCCTTATTTGTACAGATATACAAATATATGACCCAAATTAAATGTTATGGCTGATAAAGTAATTATTGTATATCTTAAAGCAAAATGAAATTTTAACCCACTATCATGAAAATGAAACTAATATATGTATTTTATTAGTGATATTTCTGCCTTCTTATATTTTTATTTGAAATTTTATTTTTGAATTTAAATTTTTTTCAATTTAAAATATATTACTTTTTTTATTTTTCTGAAATATACATTCAGTTCTCTTCAATTGACAACCTATTTCTACTTTTCTATTTGCAACAAACTCTATTACTCACCCTCTTAGAAAACAATTTGTTCAACAAAAGTTTCTTTTTTATGAAAAAAAATTATAGTTACATTGAATATTCATTATCTTGTAATAGTAATTACAACTTAAATATTACATATTTAAGAGTCAATACAAGAAACTTATTAATTCATCAAGCTATATCTTTTATACAAGAGAAAATATTAAAATACAAAACCAATTCTTTTTTTTCTTTTGTTGTTGGATGAAGATTTTTAAATGAAATGTAAACTGTTCATGTCTGTAGTAAGTATACAAAAAGAGTTCTTAGTGAAAAAATGTCTTCTTGGAAACGCCTCAAAAGCTGAAATCTCTTTCATGACTGAAAGTGAAAAAGTAGCGCATTTTTTCTTATATAATTTATACACCTAATAGTAATAGACAATTGATTAAGTGAAACTGAAACTTCTAGTTAGTAATATATAAAATTTTGTTTCTTTTCATAATTAAAATAGAATTCCAGTCAAACTTGTTGCATTCACTTATGTGCAAATACCCTTGGGAATGTTATTAATAATCTCTCCTCCCTCCACCAGCTATGGGCTAAATAGTAAATGTACCTGGAAAAAGCATCATATTCAAAAAAACTATTAATGCAATATTAACTCACAAAAAGAACATGAACAAATGTTCTTACAATCCAAAAATGTTTCAGGTTTAAATAATCTGCAAAGGGTTGATAAGTCATAAAAAAGATAAATTTAAATCATGATTAAAATAAGTTGTACAAATCAATTTTAAACTCTCATACTCAAAACCTGGTAAGAACTTTACAATAGTTCTTTGCTAATTCTTTCTGTCATAGATAAAAAAAATAATAATAATTGCTCATGAAATTGCATCAAAATTGTGAAGAAAAAAAAAAGTAAAAAATACCAGCTTTGATTACAATCATTGAAGTAATTCTTTGGTTATAGAAGCTATGAAGCAGAAAAATCAATGAAAAGTTTAAAGGTGCCTTTATAATTTTTAATGCCCCCACCCCCTTACAGCCTAGTAAGATTCAGAGAATTGAATTTGTGATTGTACTCAGCTGTGCATATCAATATTGCTATTCAGGTATTACAATGAAAAGTATGGGAATTCATGCTAAAGTTCGCAATATAAACTCATTACTCAATATGATGGTGAAAGATAAATATTTTAATCATATTAGATTGCCTATATTATAAATATCAGTGCGAAAAATGAATATACACACACACACACACACTGCTTGTGCATACTACCCCTGAACCTACTGACTGGAAGGAGGGGACCCACACCTGATTTGGGGACCTCCCCGCCAACCAGGAGGGAGCCTGATTAGGGACACTGGGTAGTGCTTTGTGACCATTGCTTTCTTCTCAACATTTGTTTTTTTATATGTTACAAATTAACCTGAACACAACTATTAAAGGATGAAAAATTTTCCGATTTTTACATCATTCTGGGGTTGATCTAATTATGATTTTGTATTTAGATCAAGGCACTCTTTAAGGATCACCTGGATTTAGATACACATTTATTTTCAATTTTTCAAGTTGAATTGTTCAACTATATTGCATATGATCCATTATTGTACATAATTAGGCTACAATAAAATTTGTAGTTTAAATGTATAATACCTTGTGAAAATTGACGAAGTACAGTGTGTGACCTGCATTGTAGATTGGTGTATGTTGGAGGTGGGGGGCTTGCACCAGTTCTGGATGCTGGAGTTTTACACTGCGTGCAAAGATACAAGACAGATTGACTTGCTTTAGCCTTTATGTCAAAATGAAATATGATTTCTTTTCCTTTTTTTTTTTTTTCTCCTTTGCTTGAAAAAATTCTTAAACAAAAATGTTTCATTAACACGCATTCATGGAAGAGGAAATTTTGAATTGATTCATGGCCAGATGTGTGAAAAGAAAATCACCTTCTGTTAAAAGGAAATTTTGCTAAATTACCTATGAAAAGATTTTCAAACATTTCTATTGAGCTTTTTACTTTTTTTTTTTTTTTTTTTATTTATTTATGTAAGCTGGAATCCATTTCTTTAATTTTCAGGTCTTTAACAAGCAAAGAACAATTTTGTCCATTCTCTTTTATGATGTTACAATAGTTTGGCACTAAATATAGGATGACAGCAAAAAGTTCAGGGAATTTGGCTACTAACAAGAAAAAATATTTTCTTAACACTTAATTTCCAACATTTCTTTCACAACAATCTCTTGCTTGCTGTTTGTACACAAAGTAGTGGAGGGAAAAATTCCATATGAAATTTGGAGTGCACTGGTCAAATTTCCTGAATTATCACCTTGTATACACGATATATGCAGCCTCCTTACTCAAGAGACGAAAAAATTTTCAACTTATAAAATGGAAGTTCAATTATAAGCCTTTGAAATAGTGGAATATGAAATTTCTCAAATGGATTTTAAAGTGACCTGCCTTTTTAGTAATTTTAAAGTAACTTTGGATTTAAATATAAAAAAATGTAATTTATTACACTTGTTATAATTATTTATCAAAATGCTACTTCACATCAGTTTTTTTTTTTTTTTTTTTGATTGTTTCAACATTTTTGAATATGTCAGCTGCATGTTTTCATTTTGTGTCTTTGTTCTTCAGGTGGTAAATCAGCGCCCACCCAATATGTTCTGGAAAGGGGAAGATATGCTCTGCCGGAAGAATTCTGATGTTCCATTCAATAGCTTCCCAACTATTACAATTGCTATGGCTACTGGCAACAATTCAGAATTTCATTTGGTTATTCCCCCTCATGTGAGTTGCTGTTATTGAACAAACACTTCACTTATAAAATAGCTTTTCATGATTTTTGATGAAATAGACAATGTAACCATAAAGTTAGTTTTATTCTCAGTTAACAGTATTATCAAGTAAAGTAGGACCTTAAATTATATCTGGAGTTGCTTAAGTGTTCTCAGGCTGACCCACTTACCAAAATTAGACTAAATGACTAAACATCAAATTTTTTAAAAATTTATTATTATTGGGTGAGAGTAGAACACTCGGGTACAAATATACAAAACCAAATATACCCATCATGACCCCCAGTCTGGTGAGTGTATACCAAGTACATGTATCACAGCCAAATGTGTGGGATATGGTAACAGGTTTTGATAAAAAAGCACATAACATTGCAGGTGAAGCGTAGTTACCTTCAGGTTAATTAAATCCATTCAAATGGTCACTGATAGTGTTTTAGACTCTCAACACCCAGCCATGATGCAACCCTACTAATCACTACTCCTGCCCATGAACAGAAATACACAATTCATTGGCCCTTAGGAGACATGACCAACTGGTTACTGTTGGACAACTGACAAGCTAATCTGAGATAATGAATGGGATATTGATATTAATTAATCAAGACAAAGCATGTATGCTTATGGCTATGTAGTGTTGAAACACCAGTTCTGTACGATCACTAAAGTTAAGCAACATCAAGCCTGGTCAGTACCTAGATAGGTGACTGCTTGGAAATACCAGGTGTTGTAAGCTTGGAAGTGTGGGTGGTGTAATGGATCTAATGCTCAAAATTGTTAATCAGCAATGTTCTAATTCCAGTTGGGTTCATTATATTCACTTACAACTATACTTGGAGGAAAGGTATGAATCTACCCCTTTATCCTCCAGCTAAGTCATTATTAACTCAAAAAAAAAAATTCTTAGAATCTAAAAAAATATTTTCTGGCATTAAATAACCTACAAAGGGTTGATAAACCGTAAAAAAAAAATCAATCAATCAATCAACAAAACCTGTACATGTTAACACCTCCAATCAGTTAAGATCAGAAGCAACTGCCTAGTAGAATATCAGACCATTTTATTATTATTATTTAAGGTCTTTTTTAGTTAGATTTGTACATATACAACAAAGCTAGTATAAAGTAAATGAAAGCTTGTCAACTCTTTTAGAAAAGCATAACTACTATTCTTTCATAGATTTTGCAAATTTTCAGAAAGCATCTTCCTTCCTCTTAATGACCTCCACTCAACTTTTCAATTTTGAGTACCTCAGAAAGAGAATGCTCAAAAATGAATCGAACAGAAGTGCGAAAAAAATTAAACAGTGACCAAAATAACCTGAAGCTTTACCCTTCAGCTGGATAACAGTGGCTACACAACATGACATGGAGTCTGTGAAGGGCTGGAATCATATAGACCTATCTATCCAGTCACATTCCAAAGCTATTAATACAGTGATTTTTTTTTTTTTTTTTTTTTTTTTTTGTGGGGGTGACTGCAAGGAGCTTAATCAGGTCTGCAGTATTGACCCACACATACTCAATATGATGTAAATCTGAGACAAATGTATCTAGAAGTCGGCGAATTGCTTCTGGAACTATTTTCATGTCACCTCACACACAATTGAGACTTGTGTTATCTTGATAGCACAGCCCATCATCCTCAGGGAAACCAGGCAGGCATGGGGATTTAAATGATCTGCATAAGATCTGTATTTATCACACTTATTTATTTTATTTTATTTTTTTATTTATTTATTTTTTTTTTTTTAACTAAATGTTCACCCAGTAAAAGGCCCAAGAATCATTCAGAGGTTACTAAATGGCATTGTTGTATAGCAGGCAAGGAGGAAGTAATGGCTAACTGTAAACTTGAAGAGGTTAAAATTGTAGTGTTCGGGAGTCTGTTCCATACAGAAGTGATTTTTGGGAAGAAGCTATCTGAATGGAAAGTCTTACCAATGGAATACAAAAGAAATAAAGATATTTCACCCCTGTGGATATGTAATGGAATGTCTAAACTGGTGGAACTGCGGAATGTAGCTTGTTAGATTTTAAAATGAAAATAGAATAGTGAGAGACTTGCAATATTGCATCTTTGGCAGAAGGGTAGAAAATAATTCATCACCTAATTAAATTTCAATAATGCAGTGTAACATTACTGTAAAGCTTACATCAGTTTGATTATGTGCAGGTAGTGTAATGGATAATGGCCTGGAATGAGAAATCCGTGTTGTGTAGAAAGACGACCGACCTTCTCTACATTAATTGTTGAAAATAGACTTGTCCATGAATAGGAACATCTGCTTATAGGAGGAATGGTCGCAAAGTGGGTGGCAAGGTGTGGCATTGAGTTGTATGCATTGCTGCACTAAACTACGGTATTCACTATTATTGTATTATTAGTCAATGTCCCTCATGTGATTAAATCTTTCCATCACTAATCTTTTGTTCTATTATTAACCAGAACTATGAGCTTATATGATCATTATAACAGTCTGTATTCATTACATTCACTTACATACAAATACCTTTTGGAAAAAGTATGAATCAACCTCTTCCCTGTCAGCTATAGGTTAAATAAGAGGACTTGTAACTAGGGGCAAACTTATTTTCAAAAAATTATTAATGCAATATTCACTTTAAAAAAAAAAAAAAAATTCTTACAGTCCAAAATGTTTTGGTTTTAAATGACCCACGACAGTGTTGATATGCCATAAAAAAAAAAAAACAAACAAACCATCAGTTTGAACAACATCTGGATAGAGCCATAGTCTCCTGCAGTCTCGTCTACACATGAATAGCTTGAAACATGATTTATCTGACCAGATGATATGGTGACATTTTTCTACATAGTCTAATAGTATTTTCTCTGGTTCAGATGAGGCACAATAACTGATGACATGGTGTCAATAATGGTGCACTTGTTGGTTGATGACTACAAAACCTTATAGAATTTAGTGTACGCTATGCAGTACGTTAACTGATTGGTTAAGTAGCAGTTAAGTTTTGAATTGGAATGGAACTTGGTGCAATGTTGTTCTTCAGTGGTTACTATCCTTGTTAGTCACTGGCTGTTCTGTTCTTGTATCACCTGTGGATACCCACTGTTTCACCTGCTGTTAATATTTGTCCAGAACTTGCATGTTTTTGGTGTACACATGCTACAGTTTTTACCTCAGAGATAGTGTCCCATCTTTCTAGCCCCAACAATCATTCTATAGTCAAATAGTGTTAAATCCTATCCATGTCCTATGCTACTTTATCTATTATGTTAACCATGTCATTTAGCAGAGTCCATTTATTTTCAAGTGGGGAGAGGCTGAAAGTGTACTGTTCCACAACCTCAAATTTCAAGAAGCCATAGTGAATATGGCTTCTGGGATATTCTCAGCCTAGAATATCTGGATTTGTGCTAGAAACTTTTATAGAAGAGAATCTTTTCTAGAAGATTACAACATGAAAAAATTCAATCATCTAATTCAATGTTCTTTGAAAACTGAAATGTTTATTTCTTAAATTACAGCAATATTTGCGAGCTGTAGGGGATGCCTCCACCTCCACAAATAATGGAGACTGTTTCAAGTTTGCCATTGCAGGATCTGATTCAGGTATGAATATGTCCAGATAAAAAAAAAAATCTTTTCCTTTTTTTTTTTTTTTTTTCATTTAGATTACTTCTCATTGGCCATTCCATTAAAAAAGCATAATTGTAAAAATATCTTCTTTTTTTTTTTTTCTTCTTTCCTCTACTCCAAAAGAGAAGTCAATACAAATTCTTGTATACAAATCTGGTACATTGCTAAAGCTCAATTAGTTTCATTTACTTTTTTGTTAATTGTCCATGATCAGCATTTTATTTCCAAACTACTCTTAAGTTTCAGAATAATATGCATTTTTATCTAAAATGAAATAAATTTAGATACAGAACAAATATAAAAATAAGTTTTGTTTTGAATAAGAATAAAAGTATTGTTAAAAACTTAAATTTTTTAAGGTAGTTTCTCTCTCTAATATACATTAGTTTATTCTGTTATAAGCATGGATTTTGCTTTGATTTGAGGCTCGGAATAACAAAAGTAAATTTATTTTGAGCAATATAATCTTTGAAACTAAAAGCATTAATCAATAGACATCTGTTTACAAGTAAAAAAAAAAAAAAAATGTTTTCCTTGTACTTCAAATAGGGGTAGTCTGAAAAAGAAATCTGTTAACCATTTATTATAATGATTAATTGCATGTTTTTAATTCAATAACTATATTCTCATAGGTGCAAATCTGGTATAAGTAGTGGAAAATAATCAAAAACTAAAACATTTAAAATATTCCAACTAAAATCTTTTCCAGTTTGTTTTAAGTCATCGAAAATACATTAAAATGAAAAAAAAATTCATCTAAAGCATCAGGACATTGGTAGTACCTAGAAGATTTACTGTTTGTCATTTAATAATTTATCATATAAAAATTTAATTTTTTTGGTTCAGTACTTAAAGCAAATAGATAACATAAGTTATATATGAGGGAGTGCTAAAAAGTTCTTGGCTCAACCAAGAAGGGATTTTCAATATTGTCTTTGTATTATTTACTTTTTATTTTTCTATAAGTTCTTTCATCTTTTAATAGAATGTATCAATGAACATTTTGACAACTCTGTGGATGTAGTAATTTGCTTTTAGACACATTTTTAGAGTACCTGAATATTAAATTTTCATGGTAGCCACGGAGAATTTATTTTAAATGATCTGTATCTTCATAAATTGTATCAGTTTCAAATTTTCTTTTAATATTCAGACTCCACTAAACGAAAGTGATTCAAATATGATTTACTGTGCAAATAAAGTAAGATTTTAGATTTGTCATTCTACGATATCAGATGTTAACTGGATTACCTCCCTTGCATGTTTGATTCAATTTTAGATACAACTGGTTAATTGAGAACTCTTTTAAGCTACACTAAAATTTGTTTCTTGTCTGTTTCAGGTACAGTTATAGGTGCAGTTATTATGGAAGGCTATTACATCATATTTGATAGAGCCAACAAATCAATTGGCTTTGCTGAAACAACATGCCAGGTACAAAATAGCCAAACTATAAAATCTAAAATTCAAGGCCCATTTGTAAGTAAAGGTAAGTTCAAACAATTGAGTTTTTCTAAATTGGTGGGATTTTCTGGGATTATTAGTTGTGTTGTAGCATACCTATGGACGGTAATGGGTATGTCCCCATTCACATATTTACAGTAGTAAATACTGTATGTTGGTCTGCACTTGGAGATTCATTGTAGAATTTACTTGACTCACTTCTAGCAGTTGACTACTTCTACATGCCACTGGCAAATCTTATATGTGCTGTTCATGTCCTAGTATTATCGTTCATTACCAACCTTCGTTTTGATTATTCTATTCAGTAACTTTCCCTAGGTTGCAACATGTTTATGATAATATACCATCCATTTCTCAATCTCTTTCTCAGTATATTAGGTCATTTTATATGACTGAAGGCTGGATAAAATGGTGAGGCAATGCATATATAAAAGCAACTCACAAAGGAATCCTACTTTCTACCCCACAATAGATTTTCCAACATTTGAGGCACTACAAGAATGACATGAGCCTTACTTCTTGTTTGTCCTCTCTCTCACACACACACACACACACACACACACAATAAAGTGCGACAAGGAAAAAATAGCTTAGTCATATTTTCTTTTAGAGATTTCCTAACCTCTAAGACAATATGCACTACAACATTTGAGAAGAATTGGTCTTTTCAAATGACAATTTTTTTGCCATTAGTTTTATAGAGAAGGAAAACTCTTTCCTTATAGCTTATGCCCTTGAGAAAGGTTGTAGAATATATTGCCGAAAATATTATGGTTGTCACACAAAGGAATTCAATTGTTTAAACAAAACTTAAGAAAAAAAATTGATACATCATTTTGACAATTTCTTCACAATACTTTCTTATTGAAATAGTTTTAACAGAATTCAATAAATTGTGGATGATTCCACATGCTGACTAGCAAATACTGACTATAACCTTTTTGATACATTTTTTGGTTTTTGGAAATGTCTTGGTACTTCACCCTACTCAGCCACAGTGTGAATGTTGTCAGTTGTATAGAATCCATTTTTCATCACAATGCAATCAAGAAATGGATTGTTTTTGTTGCACAAAAGGAGTGAAGAACAAGTTTTTGTAGCAGTGAATTTTTCTATGTGGCACCCATCTGTCAAATTTTTTTTTTCATTTTCTAATTTGGTGCAAATGTTGAACAATTCCTGAATGGTTGCCATTTAGTTTTGAAATCTCTCAATTGCTTTACATAGATTTTTCAATAATGGCACTCAATTGGTTACTAATTGCAGAAGTGTGATTTGAATGAGAAAAAAAAGAAGAAAATGTTATCAATCCTCACCAGGGTTCCTGTAATTTAAGTCAACCACCCCACTTTTCAGGCAGTAAGAAAATAAAAATAGATATCACTAAAATGGATACATTTTTTTTCCCCAAAATGAAAACAAGACAATGCTACCTCATTTTAAAAATTTACCAAAAATCAGGGAATTATTTGATTTTAATGAAATTTTCAGCACTTATTCATGAATTGTATATTAAATGTTATTTTATTAGAAAACTTTATAGAAATATTTAGGAGGTCAGTTACCCTCCCACCATTTCCATACCTTGTAAATACTTTTTAAAAATTTACAAATATTTTTATAGTTTTATAAAGAAATCCCTGAAGATATTTCAGTAAATAAATTTTGCAATATGAAATCAGAAAATTTTGAAAACTTGTCTTGAAATCTTACAAAAATAATTCACTAGAACTAAAAATAATTTTTAGTTTGATGCTTGCATAATTTAATAAAACTCACTACTCAAATTTGACAAAGAAAAATTCTACAATGAATAATTACTTTTGAAATTTTGAAAAATTTACTTTTTCATTATAATTTTTGAAATTCATTTGGTTGCTGATGTCAAGATCTTCTTTTATTAAATAAAGATCTGTTTAAAGGATCCTAAAATGTAAAGTTTAATGCCATTTTCACAGCAGAAATATTTTTAAAAGAATTTTATTTTATATTTATTTGCAACTGTTAAATTACTTTTTTGCATGGAAGAGCAAATAGGGAATAATTTAACCATACTGAATTACTTCCCTATTGGTTATATAAAGTTAATAATTACATATGTCTGGAGGTGTCTAAAATATTTTATAACATTGGTAGCTGAAAGAAAGCAAAGTGAAGGCAATCAATAAGTCTTTATCAATTTTTCCAGTTTTTATAGCTTTTTTTTTTTTTTTTTTCTTTTATAGCATCACTTTCTTTTTTTTTTATAGCATCTTTTTTTTTTCTTTTATAGCATCACTTTCTTTTTTTTTTTTATAGCATCACTTTTTTTTTTTTTTTTTTATAGCATTTTTTTTTTTCTTTTCTTTTTTTTTTTTTTCTTTATTATATTTTTTTTTTTTTTTATAGCATCATTTTTTTTTTTTTTTTTTTTTTTTTTTTTATAGCATCACTTTTTTTTTTTTTTTTTTATAGCATCACTTTTTTTTTTTTTTTTTTTTTCTTTTTTTTTTTAGCATCTTTTTTTTTTTCTTTTTTTTTTTTTTTCTTTTATTCTTTTTTTTTTTTTTTTTTTTCTTTTTTTTTTTCTTTTTTATAGCATCACTTTTTTTTTTTTAGCATCACTTTTTTTTTTTTTTTTTTTTTTTTATAGCATCATCACTTTTTTTTTTTTTTTTTATAGCATCACTTTTTTTTTTTATAGCATCACTTTTTTTTTTTTTCTTTTAGCATAGCATCACTTTCTTTTTTTTTTTTTTTTTTTTCTTTTATAGCTTTTTTTTTTTATAGCATCACTTTCTTTTTTTTTTTTCTTTTATAGCATCACTTTCTTTTTTTTTTTTTTCTTTTATAGCATCACTTTTTTTTTTTTTTTTTTTTTTAGCATCACTTTCTTTTTTTTTTTTTATAGCATCATTTTTTTTTTTTTTTTTTATAGCATTTTCTTTTTTTCTTTTTACTTTCTTTTTTTTTTCTTTTTATATAGCATCACTTTTTTTTTTCTTTTTTTTTCTTTTTTAGCTTTTTATAGCATCACTTTCTTTTTTTTTTATAGCATCACTTTATTTTTTTTTTTTTTTTTCTTTATAGCATCACTATAGCATCACTTTTTTTTTTTTTTTTTTTTTTTCTTTATAGCTTTTTTTTTTTTTTTTATAGCATCACTTTTTTTTTCTTTTTTTTTTTTTTTTTTTTTTTTTTTCTTTTATAGCATCACTTTTTTTTTTTTTATAGCATCACTTTCTTTTTTTTTTCCTTTTTTTTTTTTTTCTTTTTATAGCATCACTTTCTTTTTTTTTTTTTTTTTTTTTTTTTCTTTTATAGCATATCTTTTTTTTTTTTAGCATCACTTTCTTTTTTTTTTTTTTTTCTTTTATAGCATCACTTTTTTTTCTTTTATAGCATCACTTTTTTTTTTTTTTTTTCTTTTATAGCATCACTTTCTTTTTTTTTTTTTTTTTTAGCATCACTTTCTTTTTTTTTTTTTTTTATAGCATCACTTTTTTTTTTTTTTTTTTTTTTTTTTTTTATAGCATCACTTTTTTTTTTTTATAGCATCATTTTTTTTTTTTTTTTATAGCATCACTTTTTTTTTTTTTTTTTTTTTCTTTTTTTTTTTTTTTTATAGCATCACTTTTTTTTTTTTTTTTTTTCTTTTTATAGCTTTTTTTTTTTCTTTTATAGCATCACTTTCTTTTTTTTTCTTTTATAGCATCACTTTCTTCTTTTATAGCATCACTTTCTTTTTTTTTTTTATAGCATCACTTTTTTTTTTCTTTTATAGCATCACTTTCTTTTTTTTTTTTTTTTTTTATAGCATTTTTTTTTTTTTTTTTTTTTTTTTTTTTTTTTCTTTTTTTTTTTCTTTTATAGCTATAGCATCACTTTTTTTTTTTTTTTTTTTTTTTTTTTTTTTTTTATAGCATTTTTTTCATCACTTTTTTTTTTTTTTTTTATAGCATCACTTTTTTTTTTTTTTTTTTTATAGCATCACTTTCACTTTTTTTTTTTTTTTTTAGCATTTATAGCATCACTTTTTTTTTTTCTTTTTTTTTTTTTATTGCATCTTTTTTTTTTTTTCTTTTATAGCATCACTTTCTTTTGTTGAATAATTAGTCTTAAAATAATTAAAAAGAAAAAATCTTATTGGGACAATAACCTTGTGGATTAAAGTGTTTGTGAATTTAGTGACAAAATAATTGAGTTCTATGGGCCAGGTAGTGTGTACGTGGACTCTGTGGAAACATAGCAAGCAATAACTGGGCAGTTCTAGAATTAAGAACTAGACAAGATATGGACAGTGGAACATGAACAGTCTGTCCCCCCCAAATTGATTAAAGGGTTCAGTCCGGAATTCTCTGTAGATTACCTGGATCGATATACACATGACGGGCACAATAGACAAAACATTGCAATAACTATTTGAGGACAATAGTCCAAGTTGTTTCTGCTGCTTTACATCCCATTTTGAACTTGTACAATAAAATAATTAGAATGTACTTTTTCCATCTTTTAACTTTTTGTCATCAATCATAATAAAAGTGGGAACAAAATCATTAGCATAAGTTCATGCTTTAAAATGGAGCATTATATGAACATTATTAAATTTTCTTTTATGTGCAGTATTCCTTCAACATGTTATCAATCATGGTACTCAACAATTTCCTTTCCCTTGTTGCTCTAAGCAACTCTTTACCATTCCTCTTTGTCTACACACTGCCACCCTTTCACCTATTTTGCTAAATAGTATAAAAGTTTAAGAAAAAGTACTATTAACATCACACCAACCTAATCATTTATATAAGTTACAAGGTCAGACAATGTTTACCTTTTCAAGATAACACCAACATTTCATTTTATTTTCATTATAATATAGAAATATTTTACTTTAATGTGGAGGGGGGATACACTAAACAGTACTTCATGAATAACTTCTATTTTAAAATACAAAGAATGTTTTATTTTTAATGAAACAGATTTCCATGTTTTTTTTTTTATTCTTTCACACAATGCACTAAAAGAAAATATTCCTTTTTTGTTTACAAAAAAGTGGAAGAAAGCAATTTACTTTAATTTTAAAGTAGCATACAAAAAAACAAGATGATTCCTTTGTTCAAGTAAACTATTTAAAATTTACTTTTTGGCTAAGATGGTTGTATATTCCTTTGCTAATACCAGAAATCTGTTAGTTGAAGAGACATGATTTAAAATGTAATTTTCTTTTTGTGTGTGAGTGCACATATGTGAGTGCCTTGATACTAAACCTGGTAAATATAAATATTTTAATATGCATGCATATTTTGCTCTTACTCTTGTACCCAGAAGAATAGACAGGCATGGCCAGTTTTTTAATATTATTTTCTTCCCAACCTACCCAGTGTTATTCCAGACTCCCCAACTTCATTTATTTTATTTTTCCGATGTGTCCGTTTATTCCAGCGAATACATTTTAAATGAATTCTTTAGCCTACCCTTCCATTCTAGATTTAAGATTAAATACAAAATCAAATATTGGGGCAGGGATCTCTTTAAATTATTTCCATAACTTTTCAAACGGGTTTCTAATTTTTGATAATAATCTTTCTTTTTATTTTTCAGTGAATACAAGTACATGTTTATTCAAAACAATGGAACCAAATGATACAAGTCTGCTGAATGTGGCTTACATTTTGGCTGGGATTTGTGGTCTGTGTGCCATCCCACTTATTGTTTTACTTTTTCAGTGGCAAAAAAGATATTGGACTTTGAAAAAAGAGCAAAATGAAGATGGACAATACAAACTCTTCAACTAATCTACTAAATAATTTCTAAAAACCTGCATGGATATATTTAAAAAGAAATTTCCTCATTTCAGTGACTTAATGGTCACGTGATGGGAGTGAAACATCATTTTTATTTTAAAAGGACTGGAATTTATTTTTTTCTCCCCTTTTATTATATAAGTTGTATTTTTTTTTTTTTTTTTTTTTTTTACCATGTGGAAAATGCTACTAACAAAATATATGCATTTACCTTATGGAGATCCTGTGTATAAAATTGGACAAATTTGCTCATTACATTTAAATATGTACAAAGTAACACTTTTGTGGCTTCTCAAACCTCAAAAAAATTGTCATATATATATATAAATTTTATATATATATATATATATATATATATATATATATATATATTTATTTTTATTCTAATTTCCAAAAACAGTAGTTGTTGGTAGCCAAAAAACACTGTCCTCAAACAAAAATAGGTACCTCCACAAATCACAGAAAAAAATGTATACCATAATGAAAAAAAGACCCCAAACTTGATAAAAACAGTTTTATTGTTAAAATCTTTATTAAGAGGAAAGACCTAAGTATTTTTTATTATTTTAAATTTTTTAATCCTTTCTTAGCATGTTAAAAATTTTTAGTTAAAAATCAGCCAGGAAACAAAAGATTAGTTAATGGTTAGTATAGGAAATTTTATCATTTTTTTTATAGCAAAAAAACACATTGATTTGGAAATTTTTGCAAAAATCAAATAATTGTTGGATTTTAATGAAACATTCAGGACTTCTTCACAAATGAATGAAATTATTTTAGTTTTTTTTTTCCACATCTGTTACACACCACTTACTTAATTTTATGAAATTTCAAGAAATTAAATTTTCACCCTTGTAATATTTATGTTAATTAAAAGCAGAACTCTTTGGTAAATATAAATCCATGTTTTTTTTTTGTTTTTTTTTTTTTTTTTTGTAATATGGAAAGACACCATTTACCAAAAATCTGCTCTGAATTGCAAAATAAAAAATTTAAAACTATTATTATTTCATTAGAAAAGCTTTTAATTGCTTTTATAAATAAGATATATTAAAGACACCGTTATTATTAATAAACTATATTTACTAATCATAAATTGAAAAGCTTACAGCAATTCATTCAACACCAATATTTTAAAAGAATTTTGAATTTTTTTGTATGTGTACAAATTTGTTGATTACACAACATTATCAGAAAATAAGACTAATAACTATAGTAAATTTAAAGCCAAAGTATCTAAAATTCAATAAAATATTACAGAGAATATTTTCCTAAATTTTTAAGATTACTGAGTACTTAAAAATTAAATAAAAAAGGTGTTCACATTATATTCTTCAATTTTTTTTTTTTTTTTTTTTTTTTCAGATACCCCCTTTCCCCAGAAAAAAACTTTAAACGTCCATCTGTCATCAGGCTATCAGCATCTTAAACAGCTACTGCTGTGTTAAAATGCATTTCTTTTAAACTTAAAGTAAATAATATTTGTTTCAAACTGGATTAATTACACTTTAAATCAGCTAATATTCTTCATAGTTTCAGAAAGTATATTTTATTTTTTGAAGATATTTTTTTAATAAAGAAAATTACATTGCAATAAACGAGGGCTAAAAATGGCACTGAAATCAAATTTTTTAGCAAAAAAAAAATATTGTCAATTTAAATTAGTTTTGAAATACAGCAAAGTATTTTGCTTATTGAAAATATTAAATTTAGTCTATTAGCTTGAAATTAAAACAAAAATATAAGCTTCAAGAAAGATTTTTAATTTTGAAAAATTCATTTTAAACCTTAGGTATTGTGAATCTATGGAGGTACCTAAACTAAAATGTTGATTATGTGGAACTGGAGGTCCTCTTAATCTTTCTTTTTTATTCCCAAAGCAAATGCTCACTTCAGCTCATGGGTCTCATCATACCATAAAATTTCTAGTTGTGATTTTTTTCACAAGTCAAAACTGATCTTTTTGCCTTTTCCTGTGTCTTGTTGCCTTCATTCCCCCACAAAGTTTTTTTCCCTAATTCTTATAAACAGTTCAATGAGATTTGCTTTGGGAATCAAAGTATTAATAACTGCTTCTATTTCCATTCCCCCTCCTCCCCATTAATATTCTTCTATAAACAAATTTTAATTTACTGCTGACTAAAACTCAATTGCTTTTCTAAGCTGTATGAAAGAGTAAGGGAAATTTCAATTTTGTTATTTGACTTTTAAAATTTTTTGTCTTAAAATCTTGGGTGTTTATTTTTCTGTTATTAGATGTGTAGTTGTCATTCAGTTTCTTTTTTTATGTTAATCTGTTAAAAGGACCAGAATTTATTTTTAATTTTTCAATGTTTTGTATGCACAGTATTTAAGTATATGGAATTAAACATATGATAGTCTTAGTATAAGTTTCATGAATGATAAGGTGTTTTTGTTTTTAATTCTCCTAAGATTCAAGTGTGGATACAAATTATCACATTCATATATCCACACAATTTACCAAAATAAATTTACCACATAAGTGATAATTTTATGTTTCCATGATTATTACTTTGCATAAAGCTTTTATAATTTTAACTGCTTTCATTTTCATTATTTTTCAGATTGCTTAAGTAATTTAGTTATTATTTTGGATGAACGTAAATGTCTTTTTTTTTCTTTTTTTTTTAATTATTTTTTTTCTTTTAACCAATCATTGTAATTTATGATTTAATGTAAATGGTTTTCGGGTAGCGTTCTCCAAAAAATGTTAAAAACCTCTATTTAGAAAAGAACTTGGATTTTGTTACCACTTCAGAGATAAATCAAAATGAAACTGGCTTTTGTATTAATTGCTATTTCTCTGGCAATCTTTTCCATTATTTTCAAATTGATTTCCTTTTAATCTACACAATTTTAACTTTGTCCTGATTAGTCCATCACTTGGCAAAATAGCAATATCCAGTTCTTTACTGGAGCAGTGTATCTTATTACCTGTTTAACATAAAAATGCAATGTTTTCTACTCTTGTAAAGTGAATCTTTTTTTTAACTTATACTGTTTTCTTACTTTAACATAATTACATAGAATTATAAATGTTTTCCTATTCTGATAGAAATAAATATTTGTCTCTTTTTTGTTATTAGCACCTTGAAGTTTTCTGTTATGTACCAAGATGTACTCTAGTATTTTTATGGTAACAATAGACCCTCATGAAGTGGTGGGGAAAAGTTCTCAGCCTGACCCACTTCTAAAAATGAGACCAAATGACTAAAAAAAATTTTCTTTTAAACCCTTCTTGGTCCAGAACTTTTAGCACCTCCTTCTGTGTGTATAATTTATTTTATAAAGATGATTGCTTGAAAAAGTTACCCAAATAATTCTTTAAAGGTAGTGATTAGTTGACACTGATAAATTTAGCTGAAATTTCCATTTCTTTGTCTGAGTATGAATTTTATTTCCAAAAGTTCATCTATATGATGAACAGAGAATGTAGAAAAAAGATTAATTTTTAACTATCTTAGAATATCTGTCTTTAGTTAATTTTTAATTTGAAGTTAATGGTTGATTCTATTCATTTTTTTTCTTCTGCAAGAAGTTGAAACTTCTTTAGTTCTAATCTTGACTTTGAATTCACCAGTTTTATCTTATTGGTAGGTTCATCAGAAGCGACAATAGGAGAGTCTGATTTACTGACAGTATATCAGAAAATTTCACTAATTCAATATTCTTGAAAGATAACTAACTGTAACTGTATCTAATTAGAGAAGAGTAATTTTTCATAGTGAATGTGATCATGTGCAATCTTTGATTACTTAATTCTGAAAATAGAATCCTTTTTGTTTTTTGCCCAGCTTAAAATAATTCAATCTTTTTTCTAATACTGGCAATTATCTGAACTCCAAGGCATAAATAAACCCAAAAGGTTTAATGACAGTTTTATTTGTATGATTTGATAAAATCTTGATAATGAGATTAAGATTTCTTGATCTTCATGTCTACAATGTTAGTGAATTTCCGACATGAAGAGTCTTATTGTTTGCATCATTTACAGTTGGACTAATATCCTCATCTTTGGGATTCAACTGTGTGTTGATCCAGGTAAACTTTATGGAAATTAAAACTGAATTTTCTTTTATTTAAACAACCAGGGTAGATTGTTCTAGGGATATCTTGTCTTAAACAAGAAGAAATATCCCTAGAACAAAGATGAGAACATTAATCTGATGGTCAGTAATGTAAATAATTAGTTATTTTTGCTTGGCTCATTCAAAAGAGCATATCTAAAACCTATTTAAATGCATCTTTTCAGACAAATATCTGTTTGAACACAAGATTTTCAATATTGTATTATATATATATTACTAAAATCAACAGCATTGGTTCATATCTCTTCTTTCATGATCAAATTATATGGAATAATTCAAAGTTTATTTATTGTTCTATTAATATATATTTATTTGGTGGTTTGTTCAAATATATACATTCATTATGTGTTAGAGCAGAAAAACTATCTTCACTATATCTTAATATTCTTTTCTAAGACTTCTTAATTTGAATCTATGAAAATGGTTTCACAAGTGTATAACCCTTTTACACCACTTCACACTATCACAAATATAAAATATTGATTAGTTAAATCAATTCTGAAGGTTAAATTAGTCAAAATGCTGCTATTTTGAGTTAAATCAATGGTTTTAGTGTTAACAAACTTTACCTTGCCTAATTTTTCTTTTAACTAAATCAAAAAAAATTGGTTTCATAATTTTATACTAAATTATAAGTTTTTAAAAAACTTACCTTGTCATATTTCCGTTTAGCTAAAAAATAAAAAGTGTCAGGCAGGTTTAAGTTTTAATACCTAAACCTTGTATTTAGTTTAGCAACATTTTGAGTATTTTTTCAAAATTCATTTATATCGGTCAACTTTTTTTCTTTTCTTTTTT